CCAAACGGGAGGACATTGCTTTACCCAAACGGAAGATGGAGCCAATTAGAAGTGAGAAATATTTAAAACTAAAAATATAAATTTAATCAAATTTAGGTTGGATTCACATTTAAACGTCGTTATGGTATGCGTTTTTGTTTCTATAATTGTATTATAAAATGTTTATTCTTCCAGGTTTTTATATTCTGCAGGCTTACGTCCCCACCTATTTAACAATCGTATTATTTTTTAAATTTTTGACTATTTTTTTAATTTCTGTTTAGATTGTTTCTTGGGTGGGTTTTTGTATGGAACCCAAAGCATTGCCTGCTAGAACAACTGTGGGTGTTTCTTCTCTGTTAGCACTGACATTGCAGGTAAACAATTAACAATTTGTGATGATTTAAGAAATTTAGTTTGGAAATATTCACAAAAATCTTCCAAGAGTAAGCTATGTAAAAGCAATGGATGTCTGGATGTTATCCTGCATTTCATTTGTATTTGGGACGATGATTGAATTGGCTATTGTCTGTTATATTACAAGGTTTTAAAATTTTATAAATTAAAATACATAAAAATCCCAATTAATTTTAGATGTCAAAATTCAAAAAAAGCTAAAGCAAAGGCCATCACTAGAAGAGCATCAATGGCACCTCCTCCAGAACTTGTCAGATTTGATGCACCTACAAGTCAATGCAGTAGTGTTCGTTTGCATGCATTGCCAATGCGAAATGGTTCAGTAGCACTTCAAAGACGGGTTTCTAATTGCTCAAGTCTTGGTTTGTTTTCTTATTTTTTAAATTTTTATTTTCTTGTCTTTAAGGTCCATTACTTTTTAATAGAAGAAAAAAATGGTGTAGTACAAAAAATAAAGGAAATGGTGAATGTACTGGAGGTGTTGATGGAACAACAAAATTAATAAAAGAAGAAGAACAACGTCCATTAAAATTAATTTTGCCTAGAAGTGAAGGAACTAGAGATTTGAGGAGAGTTTCTAATGCTAAAAGTGAATCAGCAAATAGTTCTAGTTTTGGTGATCAATTTTCCTTTCCTGAGGTTTTTTGATTTTATGAATTTTATTACTTTTTAAATTTAGCTTCACTCCCCAATCATTTCGCCTTCAAGTCGTAATGCTCATTATATGTCATTTGGAAAAGGTTTGTCATTTGCTGAAGAAAATTGGCCGGTTGTACAACCTGAAAGTATTGACAAGTTTGTTGTTTTTCTACAAAATATATTTTTAAATTTAAAATATTTTCAGGCTGTCAATTGTTATATTTCCTCTAACTTTTACACTTTTCAATGTATTTTTTAATTTGAAAATTTTAAAATTAAATTTATTTAAATTTTTAAGTTAATTTATTGGTGGCATTATCTTTTTTCTATGAGTGGGCAATTTAATGGTGGAACTCAAAACAATCCTTCCTCATCATCTTTAGGCTTATCTCCGCCAATAGCAAGCCTCAAACCTTGAGCATTTATTAATTGTGATTTATTTATTGTACAATATGTTTAACTCGCAAAACTTTCTTGCTGCTTTTTACATTTTTTAAATTCTGCTTCAATGTTTTCTTTTTTAAATTTTATAAAAATAAATGCTGAAAATTTCTTGTTTTTTGAAAATTAATATTTATTTTTTAAATATATTACCTATAAAAATAATTTGTTGAAGAATTTTAAATGATGAATATTGTGCTGGTAATGTGGCAAAGTATTAGAAGGAAAGTATGACAAATTTGGCAAAGTATCAACACTTACAAGGTGTTCAGAGGTTGTTTATTGCAAAAATCAAGGATTCTTCTCTTCTCAGGGTTCAACGGTATTTTTATAATTTTATTATTTTTATAAAGAATTTCCGTTTCAATATTGTTTTTAATTTCGTTCTTAACATTAGGGTGTAATAATATTTTGTGTAAACAATTTTTTGGGGAAAATTTTGCAATTATGAACTAATAAGTTTGTAAGGGACAAATAAGGCGAATTTCCAATTTATTCATCGATTTATTATTTTATTATCATTTTCTATTTTCCATTCGTTTCTTTCGTTCATTCACATTTTTTAAAACTTATTTTTTACATTGCGCGCAGTTAAAAATACAAACTTTCTTTCATTTCTGTCCTTATGGAAAAGTTTGCCTGTCCAAATTTATTTTCTTTTAGTTCCTAATCCTTGTTTAACGATTTTAAATTTTATATTAAATTTTTAAAATTAAAAAAAAAATTTTTAGGTAAATAATGGCCAATATTTCCGTCAATGGAGTCGATGATTTGTTTGTTTTAAAGGAGAAACTAAATTCAATCCGTGAAGAAATAAATTTATTGCGATGGCCACCAAAAGAACAACAAAATCAGAATGCCTTTTTCCACTGTTTTATGGCCCTTTTTATTTTCTTGATGCAATGTGGATTTGCTTTTCTTGAAGCAGGAGCAGTTCGGGCAAAGAATATTACAAATATACTTACTAAAAATGTTCTTGATTCTTTGGTTAGTTCTTTTTTTGTTTCTTTAGCCGGTTTATTTTATCATTTTAGATAACAATTATTTCCTATTGGTCAGTAGGATGGGCTTTAGCTTATGGGCCTAATGCTAACGAGGCACTTTCTGGTCTTTTTGGTTGGTCACAATTCCTTGGTTTCGGACTTGACAATTTTTCTCGTTTCTTCTTTCAATACGTTTTTGCTGCGCGTGCGTCAACAGTATTTCTTTTATAAATATTTTTTCTTAAAATTTAATTTAGATAATTTCTGGGGCTGTAGCAGAGAGAGCTGAATTTACAACATTCCTTGCTTATTCATTATTTGTTCCAGGTTTATTTTTTGGTTGAATCTTTTAAAAATTATGTTTTTAGCCATTGTCTATCCAATTTTAACTCATTGGGGTTGGTCTGATCAAGGATGGTTAGCTCGAGGTATTCGCGTTGATTCCAGTAATTATCACACGACTTACATGGTTTGTTTTAAATATTTTTTCTGACACATTTAATCAAAAGGACTTTGCTGGTGCAGGAGTTGTTCATCTTTGTGGCGGAGTAATTTCCCTTGTGGCAGCTTGGATGATTGGCCCTCGAGTCGGACGTTTCTCACCAAATGGTCATGCAACTCGTATAGAGGGGCATTCTGTACCTCTTGCCTCGTTGGGTGGTTTTATTCTAATGCTTGGATTCCTTGCTTTCAATGGAGGTTCAGCTGTAGATATTGCTCGTCCTGGTAGTGGACAATTAGTTGCTAAAGCAATGGTTATAACCTTAATTTGTGGTGCTTTTGCTGCTATAGTTGTACTTATTGAACACAAATTATGGCATGATAAATGGACTGTTCTTCTTACAATGAATGGATGTTTAACTGGAATGATTTCCTCCTGTGCTGGATGCAACCAAATGGAAATGTGGGGAACTGTAATAACTGGAATGGGTGGAGGACTTTTTTACATTGGATTTTCTAAATTATTGTTAAAGTATGTTTTAATAAAAATTAAGGATTAATCGAGAAATTTTAGGCTTCGAATTGACGACCCTCTCGATGCATTTGCGGTAATTTATTGCCAAAATTATGTTAAATAAATTGTTGTTTTAGGTACACGCTGGTGGCGGTCTTTGGGGTCTTATCTCTGTTTGTATTGTTAGTAATCAGCCTGGTAGAGGGTTAATTTATGCATTGTTTAGTTGGTCATTAACTACAATTTTGCATGCGATAGTGGTAACTTGAAAAGATTTTTGTTATAAATTAATGCAAATTTTTTTAGCAATTTGGTTGGCAACTTTTGGCAGCAATTGTCATCATTTTATGGTCTGGATTGCTGGTTATTCCACTATTTGGGTTTCTTAAATTAGTGCACAAATTTCGTGTTCCTGCAGATATTGAGCGCAAAGGAATTGACATTTGGAAACATGGGGAAGATGCGTATCCATTGGTTTTTTCTAAATATTTTTTTCAAACATATCAACTTTAAATTTTTTGAGGTAGCTTATGGACATGGTTGGGATGAAATGGAAGGAAATATTGAACAAATGATTAATCAACACGAAGTTGAGAAAAAACTGAAAGACAGAATGCAACAACATCCTTCAACAAATTCATCAACCAGTCCTCGATATGTTGCTACGATTTGGCATGATCCGGACAAATATGGGACGTTGAATCGAAGGGTTAGTTTATTTAAATAAAATTTATTGTCAATGGGACTCATTGTAAAATAGATATATCCCAAAATTTAGAAGCAAAATGCTGATAATGGACAGAACAATGGAGTGACCACAATACTCTAATTAATATTTTTTAAGATCTTTCCCAAACTTTTATACATGGGGCCTTGATTTAGAATAGTTTAATATGTCCCAATTTGCCTTTGAAAGTCCCGGTGATTTTTTTAATCTTTTGTCATTTTATACATCCTTAACAATAAATTAACATTTTTATTTATCTTCTTCAATTTATTTGCAATTTAATTTTTAATTGCATTTATTATATCCATTTGTTTTTGCATTATTCTCATTACATTTTTATATCTCTTTTTTCTTTCTCAAAAATTGTTGGATTGATTTCTTCTTGCTTTTGCAATAAGAATTATTTGGCCAAAAGACGTCATTGACCACCACAATAGAGTGGATTATATCCCCAAAATGCACTTTCCTCATCTTCTCTTTTATTATTTTTGGTGATACTCTTTAAATTCTCTTTAAGTGACTTGGATTTTAACAATTTAATTTTTTTACATTTTTTTCTTTTGAGGATATTTTGTCTTGGACTTTAATTTTCTTTTCCTTTTTTACTCCTTCTCCATTTTTATATCCTTTGGGTTTTTATCTTCCGTTCCGCTTTTTTCAATTCTTCGGCCAATTCGTCCATCCTTTTTTCCTCCATGTTATTGACTCCATTCGCTTTTTTATTGAATTCCTTCAACAACAACAAAAAGCCTCAAAAACCATCATTTCATTTCTTTTTGAATTTTTCTTCTTTTGGGATTGACTTTTTATTAAATTCATCATTTATTTATTGAACTTGGCGAAGCAAATCAAATAACAAATGAAACGTCAGAATGTTAGAACATTATCGGTTTATTTTTAAATATTTTTTTAAAAAATTCTAATTTAAATTTTAGTTAATTGTTTGTACTCTTACTTATCTTATGGTTGGATCAGCAGTTTTTGATGCGCTAGAAAGTGAGGCTGAATTGAAACAAGTTGGTCTTTTTTAATTAAATTTTTTTTAATTTTTTTAAAAGTTTTTTCTTAAAAATTTTTTTAAGCGTCAGCAAGTGGAAACAATCAAAAAGCGTTTAGTTACCAAATATAATATTTCAACAGTTGACTATCGCTTGCTTGAGTCAATAATTGTAAGAGCAATTCCTCATAAAGCTGGACATCAATGGAAATTTGGAGGGGTAAAATAAAAATTTTTCTTTTTTTTATATTCAAATTTAGGCTTTTTATTTTGCAACGACTGTGATAACAACTATAGGTTAATTAAATTTTTTTCGAATTTAATTATAAAATTGTTTTTAAAGGATATGGACACAGTTGTCCAGTCACTATGGGTGGAAAAATATTTTGGTTTATTTTCTAGATATTTTTTATTTAGAAAAATTTTTTCAGTATGTTTTATGCACTTGCCGGCATTCCTCTTGGATTGGTTATGTTCCAAAGTATTGGTGAACGTCTAAATACTTTTTGTTCACTTCTATTGCGACGAGTTAAATATTGTAGGTTTATTAGGAAATAATTTTTTTTCATTTTTTATTTGTTTTTTAGTTTTTGGACGTCCACCATTAGTTAGCCCAATGGATTTAATTATTGTTTGTTCTCTGTTAAGTTCGGCATGTATCGCAATTGGAGCGTGGATATTTTCTCAATATGAAGGATGGCCATATTTTGATTCTGTTAGTTTTCTTATTTAAACAATTACTATTAAATAACTTTTATAGGTCTATTATTGCTTCATTACGCTTGTAACAATTGGCTTTGGCGATTTTGTAGCATTACAAAAAGACGATGCTTTGGAAAAACGACCAGAATATGTACTTTTTGTTCTCTTCTTTATTGTTTTTGGACTCGCGGTCATTTCTGCAGCAATGAACTTATTAGTATTGCGATTTTTAACGCTCAACACAGAGGATGAAAAGAGGGACAAACGTGAAGCAAAATTAGCAGAAAAAGGCTTGGTTGGTTTAATTTTAAATTAAAAAATTTAGTCTAGTGGGTACTTGGTTATTTATCTATTTTCAACTTATCTCTATCTTCCTCCCTCTCTCCAGGTTACAATTGACTCGCTAGGCCGGCGACATTATATGAAAAGCCGTGAATCCTCTTCATCATCCTCTTCCTCCCCTTCCCGTTCACAACAACAAGCTGTGCCAAAAAGTGGTGCTCCAAGTGATGATGAAGGGGAAACGAGTGAAGGCTTTAGGACTAGAACAGCCACAGGCGGTAGCGGTGCATCATTAAGGAAACGACAAAAATTAACGTTAGCACAATCACTTTTTACTCCCCTACTCCCTCTTTCCGGTCTGAAAGGATTAGAATCAGATTCGGCATCTATCGTTTCTTGTTCTTGTTATCAGTTGGCCAAAACTGATACAGTTTTGCCACTTCAACAACAACCTCAAAATCAGCAGGGGACATCAACACCCCTTCACTCTACTAAGGGGGTATTTAAATGATAGTGGGATTCGACAAAACGGGGTTTGAATTTCTAAAAATTCTTTTGTCTTTCTTTTTATACGCGAAATAAATTTGAAAAAATTTTAAAAACTTATTATAAAATGAAAAAATATTGCCCTTAGTCAATGGTAAAACAAAGGAAGTCGTTAGGTACTTGTGCAAATTGAAAGGGTAAAAAGCGCGCCATCGCACACTTGAGCATGGTTATAAGCAAATAACAATGACTGAATTTTATATAAAAATTGATGAAGATATTGAAAAAAAACTTTTTGGGACAACCTTTTTGTTTTAACGCGCTTCAGTGCACAAGACTAAAAATTGCCTTTCAAATGAATTACTAAAAGTGAGTTGATAATTGTCTGTTTTATGCTTTTTTTTTGAGCTTATTATTCTAGTCTTATTTTATTTTTGCCTATTTTTTCATCTATTTTCTATTTTTTGCACAAAATTTCCTTTAGGATATTAAACGACTTCTACTTAAGCTTTTGACTTTGAGCGCGCAATTGCCTTTAAAAAAAGTTTTTGCACAATCGCCAGGCAAAACCGACAAATAAACAAAAGACTAGGACTTGTAAGATAATTTCCTCAATCTACTTTCTTCTTGGGCAAACAATAGATAAGTTTGTGTTTCTTTGTGTTTGCCATCCGTGACCCCTCCTCTTACGTCCGTCCGCTTTTTTATTTTTTATGGCATTTGCCATCAGCTAATTCGGCAAACTTGTGAACAAAAAGCTGTGCACTTTTGTGCCGCAACATTCTTTATCTCTTCATCTTTTAAAGGCATTGTTGTTTTTATGTGACCGTCAATTTAATAAGCGTTCATATAAATTTAATAAAATTGTCTTTTAAACAATTATTCTTACGAATTAATTTTCTTCAGCTCTATTCTTATATTTTTTTTAAGGAACGAACATTGTAATTATTTTTTATTATTTCTAATACGATTTTTGTACTTGGCCCTTGTTTTCTTTTTGTTTATTTTTTGAGGAGGTCATTGGCAAAAAATATAAAATTTATAAGTGCCGGGAAGCTTAAAAATTTTAGGGAGGGATTAAGCAAGGAGGAAAGGCAATGAGAGGAAGGAAGCAACACATAAAAAGGGGATTTTGTGAAACAAAAGCTTTGAGATTGAGAGAAAGGAAATTGCCAATTCTCGCTTCAATGCCAGAAGACAATAAAAAGGAGAGGGGATTTAACTACTACTAGCTATGTGAGTGCTAAACAATATAAAAATACATTTAAACAAGTTTCACAATGATAAGTCAAGGGTTAGAAAATGAGAACCTTATTAAGAAAAATCCTCTCCTATTTTTTAATAATTTGTTTTACAAACCTTGTTTTATTAACATTAAATCGCTGACTTAATACTACATAATTTAAGTAAATATTTTCCTCATTTAAATGACCCATCATTTTACCCATCCCAGAACATTCGCAATTGTCATTGACGGTAGCAAAAAAACGATTTGTCTTCGTTCTTTCTCTCTATTAATGCCGCCAGATTTCCCAAAATCCTTATGGAAAAGCACAGCTGCCAAAATATTATATTTAAGTGAATAGAGGTGGAGGGGGTTAAGGCCAAAAAGCAAAATAAAAGGAAGGAAATGAAGGAAGGATAAATTGTCGGTGATGACCATTTAGTCCTTGCGCGCTCCTTAAATGGATAGAGAATTGGCCAAATGAATAAATGATATTGGGGTAAAGGACTCCATTCTCTTAAGGCAAAGATTACCGAGAGGAAGAGGAAGGTCCTTCTGTTCATCTTTTTCTCCCCTTCCTCCCCAATCCAATTCATTTGTCCTGTTCATTTTAAATTACCCTACGCATTGCGCACTCATCTTTTTTTGTGGATGCCGTAAACAATAAATTTTACCGATATAAAATTTTTAACTTTTCCGGCAAAATTTTTTCTATAAAATTTCTCGTTATTTTTTGCATATTTTGTCACGCGCGCTTTATCTATTATGCATATTTAATAACCACTGTGCATTAAAACAAAATAACTGAACAAAATAATAATTAAAATACTAATCTCCCTTACTCCTGCTATATTTTTATATTGCGTAAATCGCAATCCTCACTATATATCGCTTTTGTATAGAGACAACAATACATTCATTTTGTTTCTCGTTTTTATTTTTACCTTTTTATTTTATCCTTCCTTCACGTGCCCAATTCAAAATATTTTTTTTTAATTTTAAAATTATTTGACAGAATTAACAAATTTAAATGCTTCTATTAACAAATGTTTGAATTGAAATGTTTTGCTATTATTTTTCTAATTTCTCAAGCTTTTTAATTCTAACAAAAAAAGCATTGTGCCAGAAATTCAGTTAACATTTTTTCAAATTTAATTCAACTTTTATTTAATTGTTCAGCTGAAATTCAACAAATGAATTTTGTTTGTTTGCCTACAATTTTATTTAATTGCCTTAACTTTAATTGTTATTTGCGGCTTTTATTTGTGTTGCTATTCACCACTGATCGTATAATTGCATATGTCGTAGAATTGCCCAAATCAACAATGACCACAACAAAAAGAACAAATAATGATAGACTCAGGCCGATTATTTTAGGTTGGTTTAGTTTTACTTTCCGGGTAGTGTAATGGACTAAACTTTTCTGTAGTTTTTACACGGATGGAGAATTCTCCAGATGATTCTCCTTATGAGAAAATTAAATTTTTTGGGTTTAAGATCATTTTTTATCTCGTTCAAGAAAGCTTATGGAAATAAATAAATATGAATGTTTTAATGGAGGGCAGGAAAAATGGAAGCTAATGGATGATGATGATGTGAGATTTAGGCAAAAAGCACCAAAAAAGGCCGCTAAAAGATTTCCAATTTATTTAATTTCCTTATGTTGACCGTTATTTTTCTAAAAATATGGAGCTTTTGGCAAAATCTATAAAAGCAATTACCACGTTTTTACCACATTTATCCATCCATTAAAGCGTTCAGTAAGTCTATCGGTCTTAATTTTTGTGTAAAAATTAAAGAAGAGTTTAGTTCATTTATTATAAAAAGGGAGATTAATAGCCATAAGAAAAACAGAAAACATTTTTATTGGCGGTTCTTGTTTATTAGATTTTAAGAGAATTGCCCATTTGTTTCTGTTCCTTTTCCTGCTTTTCATCAGTAAATTAATGGTTTGAGGATGAGTGATGTGACCTATTGGCCAAAATTGTGTATTATATATTCTTTCTCATCCTAAAAACAATTTTCTTAACCCATTAATTCAAGTCATTTGGCGCGCAATTAAATGAGGAATTGCTTAACCTTGGTTAGAAAATTAAGAGAAAGGAAGGAAATTGAATGAGAATTAATAAAATACACACTAGGCAATTTTGTTTTATTAACTGGAGAACGGAGTAAATTAAAAAAGGGGATTTAATGATTAAAAATTTTTTAAATATTTTTTTGTAGATGAAAATGTTTGTCCTCAAGGCTGGCTTAGCGGTGGAGAACAATGCATTCAATTACAATTTGTTGCTAGTGGAATGTCTCAATCCTCTATAGAATGCAAACGTTTAGGAGCTGAATTGGTCAACGTTGTAGATGAAGATGGAGAACCTTCACTACAATTATTGGATGATTTGTCATCGATTTTAGAGGTTATTTAAACTTTATTTTAATTTTTTGAATTAAAATTGATTTTAGGAAGCTTCCAATACCGGAGTTTCTATGCAAAGTTGGCTTGTCAGTGCTGGGCATTTCTCACCAGAATGGGATTCTTCTAATGAAAGAATTCGTTTTCACAAACTACCAAGAGAAAACAATCAAAATATGGAGATTCTTGGATTGCGTAGACGTCGAGGCCAGCGCCTATTTGAATTGTATTTTTTTAAATTTTTTAGCTTAAATCACAAAAAAATTAACAGAACTCTTCTTTCAAATACAAGCATCAATCCGTTCATTTGTGCCTTAAACCCGCTCACAAGGCGAGTTCTTCTCTATCAACAATTATTATTACCTCGTGGGGCACCTCAATTTGTAGAACAACCACAACCTAATGGCTACTTTTTTGACACGTCTTCAGGCTCAAATCATTCATTTTTGTCATTGCCATGTTCTGCAATTGGAAATCCGACACCTTCAATTCGTTGGTATAAAAATGGTGGAGAAGAGGTTTTTTTAATTTGGAATTTTTATTAAAAAATAATTTTATAGATTGACTTAAACTCGCCGAATTCAACATTTATTGTCTCAGGAGGTGCTTTACTTGTGCCAGTATCTAAGATTCAACCATCGCCTATTACTTTCCATTGTGTTGCTACAAACGAGCTTGGTATAATTTTTTATTAAAAAACCTTTAGTTTAAGATCAACGGGGAGGAGAGAAGAATTAGAGCGTTGACATTTTGGATTAGGGCTTTTCTTCCTTTTTTGTGTGCCCCTTTAGTACGTTTGCGACCGTTTAATCTTTGCCTGTGGCAATGATTCACCGGTCGCCAACAACACTAGTTTAGATTAACTGGGTGGACTTTTATAAATTACAGCTTATTTTATGCCTCAATTATTTTTTTTTAATTTTTAAAATTAATTAAAACTTTTATAGGCTCAGTTCGAAGTTTAACCGCTACAATCCGCCCAGCATTCATTGAACCATTCCAAGATTATCGGCTAGATGCTTATCCTCTTATTTTGGGAACAACAATGAGCGGTGGAGCGCGATTGGAATGTAATGCACCAAGACATTTTCCAAGTGGGTTTAATTTAATTTAAAAAATTGTTATTTGAATTGATTGGGGTTTTAGATATTTAATTACAAATAAGCATAAGAATGCCAAGATTTTTTAATTTATTTTTTGTTATTTTTGTGGTTTTATTCCGCGCGGTAATTTTTACATTCTAAAGCACATTAACATTTTTATGTTTTTTGCACTTTTTATTTCTTTACAAATTTAAATTTTTAACTTTTAAAATTGTACTTAACTCCTCGAGAATATTTTTCTTTCCTTTTTTCTTCAAATTATTTTTTTTCTGAAAATACTTCTTTTGTTTTTACTTTTTCGCTTCACTTATATTTTCCTTCGTTTTTTCCTTAACTAAATTTTTCTATAAAAAATTCTCGAAGATCCCAAAACAAATTGGAAAAATTGCCGCAATACAAGCAATATTTCCAATTTGTGCACTTGAGAGACATTCTTTAAACCTTTTGGGAATTGGCAGTAATGTGTTGTAGTGTAATCCTGTATATTTTTTCTTGTCAAATTTAATTTTGTTTGGAGAATAAGCACAAAAATACTTCAAATACACACCACCCTCATTTTTAACTTTTCTAAATTCTCCTATTTTTTTATTCATTTGTACATCTTATTTTTTCTTTCTGGATGATATTTTTCAATAAAAATATTTAAAAAAATTTAATATGGTTCAGAGATTTAGAATAATATTCGACATTTATTTTTTCTACTAATTTATTTTTTTCTCATTACCTTTCTTTTTTTTCACACCCTCTTCAATGGCATTTTTTAAAATGCCAATTGCTATTGAAATAAAGCTATCCATTTCAGAGACACCCTGAAGCATTCATGCGCCTCTTTCCTTTTTTCTCATTTTGGCAGCTTTATTTATTTTCTCCCATTTTTTCATTTAACAAAAAATGCATTAGCTCCGTGAAAATCTCGGCAAATGCTTTTTTTCTATTTATCTTCAACTATTATCTATTTATTTTCTTTAAATAAATAGCTTGCTCATCTAAAAACACCCATTTTAATGGATTTTCAGAACCTATAATCTGCGCTTTTCTCGCGCTTTTTTAACAAAGAATCTCAGCTATTTTCCTGTCAAGACTTTAAAAAAATAATATTTTTTTGAATTCCTTTTTTACAAATTAGTATTTAGCTACATTTTTATTCCAATAATTCATGAGCCCTATTTAATTATTTCTTCATTTTTTTCAGTATTTTTCTGTCTGATTCACTTTATGTTTATGAATTTAATTAGATCAAGGCTCCTTACTCTATAAAAACTTTTTGTTAAAAAACTAAGCTTCCGCCCTCCAAAATGATTAATAGATTTACTAATAGACTTTAAAGGGTGACCTGTATCTGACCCAATTTTTAGCGATTTTTTATACCCGATAAAAATTATTTTTTCAGTTTTTTCTTTAGTTTTCATTGTTTTTATCTCAAATACTGACCTGAAAAATAAATACTTATTTAAATATAAAATAGTTGTACACTAATTTCTGAAAATTATTTAGGATACGTTCACTAATAAACTTCTTAAAATAATAAAGCTAAAAAACAGGTGCTTTTTCAGATATCTTCTATTTTTTTTATAATTTCATTTTTTGTTGTCTGTTTGCTGTTTTTTGATGATTGCATGAGCTTATCCATTTTTATTATTTTTTACTTTTTTTTATAAAAATTCATTCTCATTCTTTCTATAATAATAATCTAATATTTTTGTCCATAATATATTTTTTGCAAAAACACTTGCTTCTTATTATCTTTCCCAATCATTCCACAACTAAAAACACCATTTTAAAACCCTTAAAAAATTATTTTTCATTCATTCTCTCCCTTCTTTCATCAAGCACACAATCAGCGGCTGTTCCTTCTATTCGGCTGTCACTTGTCTTTTTTTTACCAAAAACTGGGCAGAACAAAACGCAAAACAAAAAAATTTCACGCAATACTATCATAATTTTTCCACTTCAATCATTACCACTTCCATAGCAGCCAGCCAATCTTTCTCACATAAAATTCCCTAAAAGTCCTTTTTGATGAAGGAAAGGAGGAAATAATGGCCTCAAACCACTTTTCAATCACTTTTCTTTCTATCATTTATTTTGTATGGTTAAACCGGTTTTAAATAACCAAAAACTACAGCGACACTAATGTTATCTCCCCCGCAATATTATAACGCTCTACTAGCATTTTGCATTAACAATCAGCCAGCCGCTCCTACATATACCCAAAAACTTTCTCTTAAACCAATAATTTAATTTCTCCCTGTTTTCCCGATTTATTCTCTTTCACCAAATCAGTTTTATAAAAAATATCAAAATTATCTACATGGGAGAGACAAAAAAGGTTTAAAAAGCCGTGTTTTATACAGATTAGATCCATTCTTTTAATATCTTTTTTGGAGCGCGATATATATATTTTTGATTGTATCTTATTCTTTATTTTATCTAATTTATTTTTAGAAATGTGATTTTGCAAAATTGACTTCCGCCGGATAATGATCTCTTTCCCTTTAAAGGGGGAAATTAACGCAAAAAACACACATTCATATTTCTCTTTCGCTCCATTTCTCCTTGGGTAATTATTCCGAGTTATGGCACATATTGCACTACAGCACCAACAAATGAATTTAGCACTTGAGCACACATAATTTCAACGGCACAATTTTCTTCTATGGCACCAACAACAACAACATTATCTGCACTCTTCACTCGGCACAATAAAATCAACTAAATTATCATCAGAAACTTCAAAAAATTTTTATCTACTACAATAATTAACCTTTTTAATAAACTGTAAAACCTAATGGATAAACTACTGCGGAAAGTATGTTAAGCATTTAAAAATTAGAGACCAGAGGGAACCTGTTGAACTTTAATTTTACTAAGATTAATAATAATTGTTTATGGTCTCTATTTTTCAAAAAAAGGTTAACAAATTTAACTTGATAAATCAAGGAAATGTCAACAGACTTTGAATTTGCTCTACAACATTTTGTAATTTTCACTAGTTTTTGGATGATGATGAAATTGATAAATATAAGAAAGAATTCTGATTATTTTAGATCTTTTTGATTTTTCACGTTTTCGCACTGCACTATGCTTATCTAACAATCTGCATTTTAATCACTTTTATGCTTTTGCATTCTTAATTTTATCACTGTAATTTTATTGCACTTTAACACTGCATTTTATTATTATGCATACTACATACACTTTACACACACACGCACAACAGCACATCACACTTAATTTCTATTCACTAGTTCACAAACACGCAAAATTCATTCACATCACTTATCACTCTGGCACAATCACAAAAACTCACTCACTATTCTTTATTTTCTGCACTAATTATTGTTGAAAGGCTAGCGCGCTACCTTAAATGGCGCTTCTGGTGCACGTTTTTAGCCATTTAGCATTAATATAGAAATGCTTTATTTTAAAAATTATTTTTTTTGTAAAATCAACTTTAAATAATCTTTTTAAGTTCAAAAATATTTTTTATTCTCTTGGCACGGTTATAAAAATAATCTTTTCGCTCACAATGCATTAAAAACACATCACAGCATTAAATACACTAATTAAATCCTGCTTTTCACTACACTTGCATTTTAAATAAACTCAATGGATAGGACAAAAATACTAATTAAAATAAAATTAAATTGAATTTCTTTGAGTAGTTTTGATTTTGTCCTATCCTGTTTTAATGCCGTCCTTTAATTCTATGCACTTAATTTTTTTAATTTTACACAGTGCAAAATAGTATTTTCACACCATTAGCACTTTCATAAAATATAATTGGCACAAATTTTAAATATTAAAAAGCACATAATGAGACAGTATTTAATTTGGATAAACATTAAAATGATATTTCGAAATTTTACAATATTTTTTGATAAATAAAGATTTGGCATTCTTTCGAGTTTTTTATGGGATTTAAAAATATAAGATTTATTTGAGTCGAATTTTGAGGCATCAGTTTTTATTTTAATTTTAAAAAAGGATCTTTCACGTTCTTCTGGGTTCGAGGTGGCAGTTATGAACGTTTTGTTGAAGTTACTCCTCGACTTTTTATTTCTATGGAAGGAACGCTTTATTTTGCCTATAATTTACGTGAAGACGATGATAGGTAAATAAAACTTTGAACTGGGTATTTAAATATTTCTAGGGACATAGGCAAAAACTTTGAGGTGAATGAACGGGAAGGCAAACAGAGAATAAGGGAAGCGTATTAATCTTTTCCTTTGGCAACAAGTTAAGGTGAATGAATGGGGAGAAAAAATGAAAGAAATAGGGGAAACAATACACAAAAGCGTGCTTCAGTATTTATAAGTAGACTAAGGGAACTTAACAATGATTTTGTTTGAGCAATCACTTTTTAATTCCATACAAAATCTTTTGAAGTTATGCATGTATAGCAACAATAGAAACTCAATCAGCAACAATAGAAACTCAATCAATTTTATTTTTCAGCACCTCCAGTTTTGTTTCAATATTTCTAGGGACATAGGCAAAAACTTTGAGGTGAATGAACGGGAAGGCAAACAGAGAATAAGGGAAGCGTATTAATCTTTTCCTTTGGCAACAAGTTAAGGTGAATGAATGGGGAGAAAAAATGAAAGAAATAGGGGAAACAATACACAAAAGCGTGCTTCAGTATTTATAAGTAGACTAAGGGAACTTAACAATGATTTTGTTTGAGCAATCACTTTTTAATTCCATACAAAATCTTTTGAAGTTATGCATGTATAGCAACAATAGAAACTCAATCAGCAACAATAGAAACTCAATCAATTTTATTTTTCAGCACCTCCAGTTTTGTTTCAATATTTCTAGGGACATAGGCAAAAACTTTGAGGTGAATGAACGGGAAGGCAAACAGAGAATAAGGGAAGCGTATTAATCTTTTCCTTTGGCAACAAGTTAAGGTGAATGAATGGGGAGAAAAAATGAAAGAAATAGGGGAAACAATACACAAAAGCGTGCTTCAGTATTTATAAGTAGACTAAGGGAACTTAACAATGATTTTGTTTGAGCAATCACTTTTTAATTCCATACAAAATCTATTGAAGTTATGCATGTATAGCAACAATAGAAACTCAATCAGCACAACAAGGGCCGTTTTTCCGATTAATTCTACCCCATTTGAACACCAAACATAAATCAGCACATGGAAAAGTTCAGAGATTTCCCCACTCATTCGCTCCAAGAATTGATGAATATCAGCCTCAACTTTTTCCAGAATTACCCATTCGAGGACAAACTGTCCACTTGGAATGCTTTGCTTATGGATTGTTTGTTTTTGATTATTTTTAATTTTAAATTCATTTTTCTTTTAGTCCAATCCCAACTTATCGCTGGACTCGAGTTGATGGACTCCCACTTCCTGTAGGTCGTCATAAATTACTTAGCTTTGGACGAATTCTTCGTATTGATGGAGCAGAGATAACCGATTCGGGAAGATATCGCTGTACTGCTCAGAATGAACTGGGAACAACTAGTGCTGAATTAAAGCTTATTATTCAAGGTTAAATTAAATTTTTGAAATTTCAAAAAAAATATTTTTTCAGCACTTCCAGTTTTGTTTCACCCTCTAATTGATCAATTAGTAGCACCAAATTCTACAGCTTCCCTGCATTGTCAAATACCCGATTCTGGAAGTGTACAAGTTGAATGGTTTCGAAATGGATCTCCTCTTTCGCCTCTGCTTTTAACTGAACAAGAAAGGAAACGATTTTTGATCGCTGGGAATGAGTATAATTTTTTTTAAATTTTTTCCATTATTATTTTCAAATTAGACTTACAATTGTCAATGCTTCACCTTTTGATTCTGGAATGTTTCAATGCATTGTCTCCAATGATATTGGCAGCGTTACTTCTTCAGCATTACTTTTTGTTACTGAATTGGCTCCTCGCTTTCATTCAAATGTTTTTCTTTCAAAAATTTTTGTTGTAGAGGGAACTCATTTATCTATTCCTTGCCTTGTTCAATCCAATCCTCCGGCAAAAACTCATTGGAAAAAATTAGATGATTCTTCAGAAGCAGAAGGTTTAAAATTAAATAATTTTATTGATCAATCAGTGCCTGGTCAAGAAGTTGCTTTATTAAATATTGAAAATGCTCAAGCACTTGATTCTGGTTTATATGAATGTACAGCAATTAACAGATTAGGAAAAGCTAGAGCAATAATGCGGTTGGAAATTATTCGTGAGTTTTTTTGTTAAAATTAAGAAAAATTTCTTTATGATTTTTAGCACGTCCACAAATGTCAATACAAATTGAAGATTCCAAAGAAGACCAATTTTCAAAGAAATTTACTTGTGAAGTAGAAATTGCTTGTCGCAGTGTTGAAGATTGTCCTGAAGCTCTTTTTAGTTGGGAATTTAATGATAAACCAGTTGAAAGTTTGACATTTGGTAATGGAGGACAGGAACAACACCAAACAATTAGAATGGGCCAAAGAGAAAATGCTTTTAAACAAATTGAAAATGGAAGAATAAATAGATTAGTTAAGCAACAAAGTCAACTGGAATTACCTACAAAATTTACGAAAGGTTTAGAATTTAAAAAATTTTAATAAAAAAATTTTTCTTTTAAGAAAATGTTGGCCGTTTTGCTTGTAATTCACTTTTTGGAGTAGCAACAGTGGAAGTTGAACCTTCACTTATTTTTGTTCCTTTAAAGCTGTCGGTAGGGGAAGTACACGATGGAAGTGTTAAATTACTCTATAGAATATTACAACCACAAACCTCGAATGTGAAAAGGCGAGATGGACATTATAAACAAAAGGTTTGTTAAATTTTATTCTCTTCGATAAAAATTCATATTTTAGCCAATAGAAAAAATTTATCAATTAGATGTTCGAACAGCCCTTGATAGGTATTGGAGACCAATTAGAAGAGTAGAGCTGGACGAGAACGCTGTTAGTTCGAATAGTTTAGAGCGTGAAATTCTTTTGGAGAAACTTGAACCGAATCAACTTTATCAGGTTTTTTATATTTATAAAATATTAATTTTTTAAAATATATTAAAGTTTCGGTTGAGACCGTCCACAGAAAGAGTTCAATATGCAACACTTTCCGATTGGGTGCGAACGCCTGAAGCAGTTCCTTCACAAGTTGTGCAAAACCTTCGCTTTCGAATGCTTGACGATCAACATTTACTGCTAGAATGGGATCCAATTGAAAGGGTATTTTATTTTTATTACCTTTTTAAGATTAGTTTTCATTTATTTTAGTTCCACTCAAAGTCCGTACTTTTCGATCTTTATCCGCCTATAACTTTTTGTTGGATGATCAGTTCTGATCAATCCCATCAGGAAAAAATTAAGTACATCCTAAGCTTTTGCTTAATACAAAAAGTATTCGGAAAGATCAGTCTACTAAAATTTTGAACCGAGGATCATATCCATGGCTCTATTTTTTGGCCATAACTTTTCCTATTTTTGATTAAACTGAATGATTTTTGTATTAATCGACAGCGTTGGATGTGCTTAATCTTTTTCCTGTGAAACAACCAGATTCCCTCATCCAGTAAAAAGTTACAGCTTGTTAACCCATGAAATCACGATTACCCGCACTTGTCCGCCTGTATCTTTTTATCAAATGATAAGCTTTTATCATTTCCTACAGAAAAGGAATCTTCATATCCGGGGCTTTAAATTGATATATAAAGAATTCGGATTATTCAAAGGATAAAGTAGATATGTGGTAGAAAATATGGGACTCTACTGATCCCTTCTTTTTTAAATAAACTTTTTCTGCCAAAATATCACTTTGTCAAAAAATAGTTAATTGTAAAATATCAAATTGTCAAAGTTTATTTTGCCTAATTATTTTCAAATTTTTCAAAATTTTTGATTTTTCTAATTTATTTTAGGTGTTTCATTCTGCTCCTCAACTTCGTTATAATATTAGTTGGAATCTCCATGATGGCCAACAATTTTCTGAATCTACAACAACTCCAAGAATTGTCATTATATTACCTTCAAATTTAAAAAATAATTCTAAAGACTGTCTAATTTTGAATGTTAATGTTCGCCCTTATAATCGAGTTGGGCCTGGAAAAGTAGCAACAAGTAAAGTTGTAAGAGCGAGTGATATAAGTGAGTTTTTCTTTGAATTTTTTGTGGAAATTTTCTTTTTTGTTTTTTAAAGAACCTCAACGTTTTGCTGTCAATCTTCAATTAAATACTGTCAATTCAACACATTTAAATATTTCTTGGAATTGGGAAGGTATAGATCCGTGTGAAAATGTATTGGGAGCTAAGGTTTATTTTTGTTTAATCATAAGTTTATTTTTAAATAATTTCAAGATTATATGCAATGAAGAAGGAATTACCAACAATTTGGATAATTTTGGAAATATTAAAGAAAAGAAAGGGGACAGGCAACAAAGGTTTTTTAGTTTATAAATTTTTAATAAAATATTCCTTTATTTTTAAAGTAAACTTCCAAACTTTTCAAATTCACTTCAACAAATATCTCAATCTGTGCCTTCAGAATATAATTTTTGGCTTTTTGGTGGTTTATTACCTGAACGAAATTATTTTTGTAAAATAATTGCTTTTGATCAATATGGAAGAAATGGCCCAGAAAGAATTGAAAGCTTTGGAAGAGGGAGGACAGCAGAAAAGGCACCTGATAAAGCTCCTGAAATTAGTTTTGTGCTGGTTAAAGAAGTTGAAGATTTGGTATAATTTTTATATTTTTTTAAGATTTCTCGTTTACTTTTAAAGATTATTTTGCATAACTTTACGCTTCTTTTTTTTATTTAAAAACGGGATTGAAGTATTCTAACTTATGATTGATCATTTAAGATTAAAATTTTCCCCCTTCATTTCCTTCCCAAATTTTTCTAAAAATACTTTAAATAATAGTAAATTGTGCGTAATAACTTTTAAAAACGAGAAATCTTTTGCATCACAATTTTATTTTTATTAATTTTTCTTTTTTAAAAAGGATTCGGAGATTGATAAAGGTACATCATCAACAATAAATAAAAGAGGATATGCTTTATTACTTGATTGGAGACCTGTTCCTCTTACGTTGACAACAATAATAAACGGGTCTTATTCTGCAAAAGATGGTTCTTCTTTGACATCCAAGATTAGATCAGAGATCAGAAAAAGTGAAGAAAATAGTAGCAGGCAGAGAGGGTACAAGGTTAGATTTTATGTTATTTGGGGTTGAGGGGTTGGCTGGGGGTTTCCTTAATAGCCTGATAAAGCTCCTGAAATATATAGCCTGATAAAGCTCCTTAATAGAGATTCGGTAGGCCTTTTTTGAAAGATTTTGTTTACCTAGACTAGGAATATACTTTGGACTTTTTATTTTTAAAGGTTACCACTCTTCCCCCGTCGTTGAAGGACATATGTAAATAAGTAAAAGGGAAAGATTATTATCTTTAAAAAATGTTTGGTTTCCGCTCTTTAATCTTTAAGGGTTTTGAATGTTTTTGATCTATTAGAATGTCAAAAATAATAATTTAAATATTTTTTTCTAGATTTTTGTTTACGTCACAGAAACTGCTGAACAACCTATTGAATTAACTCTTAGCGAAGCAGAACTGCACGAACCTCAAAAGCCTTCTGCTCGAATTGATGGTTTAAAGCCAATGTTTTATTATAGCATTCAAGTAATTTTGAAAAGGTTTTCTCTTTAAATTCTTTTAATTTACAGATTGCAGCTTTCAATCCTGGCGGAATCGGACCTCTTAGCGAAAGAATTCCTGTTCGGGTTGGTCTACACAGACAGCAACAATTAAACGATGAATGGAATGCAGGCAGTCAAAGCAATAGATTAAATTTTAATATTTTATTCGTATTTTTCACTCTTGTAATGTGTTATTCTATTGAGAGGATATTTTAATTTATTTTCGAACATTTGATATTATTTAAGTTTACACTTTGAAATACTTTGAGTTTCCATTTTGAAGTCCCTCGCGAAATAGTGTGAGAACGTTTCCAGAGAAATAAAGTTTATGTTTTCAAATTTTTGCCTTTCAAGTTTTGGCGGCCATTATTTTTGGCTTTCTGTTTTAATATTGATTTTTGCTTTTTTTCTATCTTTAACGTTCTCTCTATCTGTTGACCATTTATAGCAAAGGTGTTCTACAACAGAATGCATGGCGTTTCCTTTTTTTGGGGGGGGGGGGGGGGGGGAGTAATGACTTGCGGACAAGACTTGCTTTTTATAATTTTTAAAAAATGTATCCAATTTTTTCAGTTCTTCAACAGCAACAACAAAAGCCTGGGCAGCAAAAGTCCCACTCTTCGCTTCGGCGATATTTGGGCAGAAAAAGTCCCACTCTTCGCTTCGGCGATATTTGGGCAGAAAAAGTCCCACTCTTCGCTTCGGCGATATTTGGGCAGAAAAAGTCCCACTCTTCGCTTCGGCGATATTTGGGCAGAAAAAGTCCCACTCTTCGCTTCGGCGATATTTGGGCAGAAAAAGTCCCACTCTTCGCTTCGGCGATATTTGGGCAATCTGCAACGATTAAACTCCAATGATCTCGTCAACATGGTTAGCTTTTTTTACTTTATTAGATTCGCAAGTTTTGTCCGCAAGTTTTCTCCCTTAAATAAGCTTATCCTTTCTCAATGTTAAAGCCAATTAAATGGGGGCCAAGTTCTTGTCAAATGAGAAGACGTACAGCAGATGTCCATTGGTTGAATGCAATGATTTGTTTGTTTTGAATGGTTGATCTTTTTATAGGTTGTTTTTATGTTTAAGAGTTTTTCAATTACTTAATTTTCAGCTTTGAGAGTATCCAGAAGCTGTACAGATTTTTAAGAGGTTATTTTTAATTATTTACTATGGCTGCATGACTATTTAGGTCAGTGATTTATTGCGGGAAGACAATGTATCTGATTAGAAGGCTTTAGAAGAACAAGAATCAGCAGAAAAAATGATTGAGGAACTGCAATCTTTTGTTAGAATTCAGCAAATGAGGTTTGAAAATTAATTGATTGGTTTGATAGATTTATAGGTTTTTTTTATTGCATTTGTTTTGTTAGGGTTTTCCTTTGTGCTGTTCTAATATGGGTAGGGGTAATGTTGGCCTAATTTTATCTCTATGGCATATGTCGTCATCATTGTTCTTAAAAAAAGCTTAATTTAATATTATTTTAACTTTTAACTAGTTTTTGATTGGGCTGTTATCAAGTTTGGATCCTTTTATTAGTCCCAAGATCGAACCAAAATCAACCTTCCTTTTTTTTTGAAAGATTTCCAATCTTAGAATTTTACAAGCAACATAAATTCAGGGCTTTTTTATTTTTTAAAGATTTATTTTTTCATTTTAAAGAACGTACAGACGAAGAAAAGGCAAGCACAACATCTGGTCGATGAGCAATAAAGAAGCATTGGAATTACAAAAAAAGGAAGCGCCAAATATCAAAATTGGATTTGGGAAAGAAACCGAAAACGTAGTTTTTTTTATTTTTTGTTTAATTAGATACAGTCGAATTACCAATTGAACTGATGGAGAATCTTCTGACATTTTCACAAGAATAAAGGAAATTTACGGATTGTTTGTTAAAATCCTAGTTTCGACTGTATTATCTTGTTTTATATAATTTTTCATGTTTTAGCCAAATTTTTATTTGTTTGAATAAATAATGAATTAGTTGAATTATTTTTCATAATACCTTATCGAGGACTAAAATTCGAGTCGGCCTCTGAAGAAATGTAACCGTTTTTACTTGAATATTTTCGTTAAGTTTCGAAGAGGCCTTTTTTCATGTCTTCAGACTCTTGTAGTCCTTTTTGTATTGAGAACTACTCTTACTACTTTTCAAGAAGTTTGAATGTAGCAAGTAGAGATAGAAGATGTTCGAGTTAGTTAAGAAGTTGGGATGTTATGTTAAAAATAAATGACACTTTGTCCCTTGATTTAGAGAAATATTTGAGTATCAGCGGTATAGGCCGGTTTAGTGCCGAATTTTGAGAGCGTGATAGCTACTGTATTGGAATACATTTAGGCTTTAATTAATGGAAAATCAATATATATAATCAATAAAATGTCCCTTTCCATGATCCACAATTTATTTAGAGACAATAAGTGAGATTGTTTTCGAAAAACTTCATGTTCACGTAAGATACCCCCATTTAAATTTATCGTTCGACGAATTTAATATTTTCAGCTTTGACGTTTAAGATTATCTGATCAAATCAGACCTGTTGGCGAAAATACTCCTCACATACAAGCATTGAATGTTGAAAAATTAATTCGAATTCATTGAAACCATTAAATTTATGGCCCAAAATATGGGGCAATTTATAGTTGATTGTGGCATTTACAGTAGTTATCGCGCTCTAGAATTTGGCACTCAACCGACCTACCGCGATACAAAAGAACTACTATCTAAAAGACCGTTGATTAAAAGATCGCGCACCCAAGAGGGTTAAAAGATCGACGCGAACAAAAGGCTTAAAGGACCGAAGCGACCAAAAGAGGTTAAAAGACCGAACGCCCAAAAAGAGTTGAAAGACCGAAAGGTTAAAAGATCGGTAGGTTAAAAGCCCGACGAATCCAAAAGAGGTTATAAAACCGAAAGTCAAAAAGATGTTAAAAGGCCGTAGGCTAAAAGATCGATGGTTAAAAGAACGTTGCAATCAAAAGGGTTTAAAAGACCGTTGGTTACAAGATCGACGTTTTTCTATGGAATTGTTTTTCTTCCGATTTTACTAACTGTTGCAATGCCTAATGAAGTTTGTGTTTGTCAGAATGAAGATGGAAGAAAATAAAAATATCATTTTTTGTATTGCAATTCTTATTTTGTATATAATGTCCTCGTTTTTTGTCTTCGTAAAATTATGAGTCTTATTTGTTATTTTCATAGGTGATCTTCTGCGATGCCTTTTAAGCTATTTTTTGCAGGTGATCTCTAGGGTTAGCGGGTTGATGATTCCAAAAGACCGCTCGATAGAAGGGCAACTTCAAATACCTTAGGGCATGTTTTGAATTAGATGAAACACCTTAGGGATTAGCTCCATTAGATAAATCTGATAAAATCAAACCTGTTGGCTTGGATGTTGAAAAATTAATTCGAATTCATTGAAACCATTAAATTTATGGCCCAAAATGTGGGGCAAGTTATAGTTGATTATGGCATATACAGTAGTTATCGCGCTCTAGAATTTGGCACTCAACCGACCCACTGATAATTCAAATATTTTTTCCTATACAAAAGAACTACTAGTTAAAAGACCGTTAGATTAAAAGATCGACGACCAGGAAGAGGTTAAAAGACCGACGCAACCAAAAGTGGTTAAAAGACCGACACACCCTTAACGGGGTTGAAAGACCGAATGGTTAAAAGACCGGCGAAACCAAAAGTGGTTAAAAGACCGTTACGTAAAAAAAGAGGTTAAAAGGCCGTTGGATAAAAGATCGATTGGTTAAAAGAACGCTGCAACCAAAATGGGTTAAAAGACCATTGGTTACAAGATCGCTGTTTTCTATTGAACTTTCTCCCGATTTTACAAACTATTGTCATTCTCATTTTTAATATAATGTCCTCGTTTTTTGTTTTCGTAAAATTATGAGTCTTACTTGTTATTTTCATAGGTGATCTTTTGCGATGCCTTTTAAGCTATTTTTTGCAGGTGATCTCTAGGGTTAGCGGGTTGATGATTCCAAAAGACCACTCGACTGAAGGACAACTTTAAATACCTCGGGGCGTTTTGAATTAGATGAAACACCTTAGGGATTAGCTCCATTAGATAAATCTGATAAAATCAAACCTGTTGGCTTGGATGTTGAAAAATTAATTCGAATTTATTGAAACCATTAAATTTATGGCCCAAAATGTGGGGCAAGTTATAGTTGATTATGGCATATACAGTAGTTATCGCGCTCTAGAATTTGGCACTCAACCGACCCACTGATAATTCAAATATTTTTTCCTATACAAAAGAACTACTAGTTAAAAGACCGTTAGATTAAAAGATCGACGACCAGGAAGAGGTTAAAAGACCGACGCAACCAAAAGTGGTTAAAAGACCGACACACCCTTAACGGGGTTGAAAGACCGAATGGTTAAAAGACCGGCGAAACCAAAAGTGGTTAAAAGACCGTTACGTAAAAAAAGAGGTTAAAAGGCCGTTGGATAAAAGATCGATTGGTTAAAAGAACGCTGCAACCAAAATGGGTTAAAAGACCATTGGTTACAAGATCGCTGTTTTCTATTGAACTTTCTCCCGATTTTACAAACTATTGTCATTCTCATTTTTAATATAATGTCCTCGTTTTTTGTTTTCGTAAAATTATGAGTCTTACTTGTTATTTTCATAGGTGATCTTTTGCGATGCCTTTTAAGCTATTTTTTGCAGGTGATCTCTAGGGTTAGCGGGTTGATGATTCCAAAAGACCACTCGACTGAAGGACAACTTTAAATACCTCGGGGCGTTTTGAATTAGATGAAACGACTTAGGAGTTACCACCAATAATCACCGATTGGAAGGACAACTTAAAACGCCTCAGGGCGTATTTTTAACATTCAAAAATTACCCTTAAAAATATAAACATCAACAAAATAAGTCTATTTATACATTTAAAGCACAATATAAACAAAAACTAAACAAAAACTTTAAAATTCTAGGATTCACTGTTGTCCATTTCCTTAATTTTATTTTCATAAATATCATTCAGCTTGTTTTGCTCCAATTGCAAGGTACGTTGATGCAAACAGAGTCGTGACAACAACGAAAGGAGAGCACCTTCTTCTTGCCTTAACATGTCCATTTATTTCATAGAACGACGGTAGGAGACAAATCTGTTTGGAAATTGAGATTAAAAAATTGCGGAAAAATTTTACGGACAAAAACCTCTTTCGTTTAAATTTGGGCAAAAATCGATTCTTGGTTAGCACTGCGCTATGAAGTCGAGTACAACATTGGGAGCAAAAAATGTGAACACGGCAGCAGGACCTGAGGGCAGCCAAAAATATTCTTATACAAAAAACCCATAGAAGCTTGATTATTCTAAAAACCCAAAAAATCAAGTTAAAAAACAAACTAGTTGTATCAGCCACAGCAGGTCCTGCATCTTCTTTAACTTCATCATGTTCATTATTCTCTTCTTGACGTTCTCGTTTGACGGGCAAATTTGATTCCTCCATAAGCTTTGGATTCCTTAAAGTTTGAATGGACGGAGATTTAAACATCGAAAACGTGGAAAGGGGCAACGCTTGAATTAATAAACGAAAAATTGTGGAAACCAAATAGTCAACCCAATCAATTAATTTAAAAAAAACTAACTTTCTGTTATACTAACAAAAGATTGCAGTTCTTCAGTCTTTTTTTCTGCTGATTCTTGTTCTTCTAAAGCCTTCTCATCAAATAGATTGTCTTCCCCCAACAATTCTGTACCCTAAAAAATAATCTTGAGGCCATAGTAAATAGTAAAAATAACCTCTTTAAAAATTTCTATAGCTGATGGAACTCTATCAAAGCTGAAAATTAAGTAATTGAAAAACTCTTAAAAATAAAAACAACCTGTAAAAAGATCGACCATTCAAAACAAACAAATCAATGCATCTAACCAAACATTTGCTGTACGTCTTCTCGTTTGACAAGAAATTGGCCACCATTCAATTGGCTTTAACATTGGGAACGGATAAACTTATTTAAGGGAGAAACTTTGCGGACAAAACTTGCGAATTAAATAAAGTAAAAAAGCTAACCTCCGAAGAGACCACAGCAGCTTTTGTGCCCAGCTATCTCCGAAGAGACTACTGGGCTTTTGTGCCCAGCTATCTCCGAAGAGACTACTGGGCTTTTGTGTGCTCGGCGAGCTGATTCGATAGAACGGGGAAGAGGCCGAACGGACGTTTAGAGGACCGAGTTCACTTTCCAAATTTCAGGGGGGGGGGCTATAGCCCCAGAAGCTCCCCCTGGCTACGCCCTTGACTTATTGGATGGCCCAAACCATTTATCCCAAATCGACTCATGTCAGCTCGACGGGCTTTTCTAATGACTTATAATTTGTCGGAATCGGATAGGCAAACAAAAACCTTCCTACAAGGCACAATACCCAAGGGAAGCAACTGGACAGAGATTTAAAGATCTAAAAAGGGACAGAACTTGAAAAAAATAAACATTTATGGAAACCAAATAATCAACCCAATCAATTAATTTGCAAACCTATTTTTCTGAATTCTACCAAAAGATTGCGGCTCTTCAGTCATTTTTTCTGCTGATTCTTGTTCTTCCAAAGCATTCTCACCAAAAAGATTGTCTTCCCGCAACAATTCACCGGTCTAAAAAATAATCTTGAAACCGTAGACTCTTAAAAATAAAAACAACCTATCAAAAGATCAACCATTCAAAGCAAGCAAATCAATGCATCTAACCAGTTGAACATTTGCTGTACGTCTTCTCATTTGACAAGAACTTGGCCACCATTTAATTGGGTTTAACATTGGGAACGGATAAAATTATTTAGGGGAGAAACTTTGCGGACAAAACTTGCGGATATTTAATAAAGTAAAAAAGCTAACCATGTAGACGAGAGCATTGGAATTGTATAGTTGAAACTGCCCAGAATCGCCGAAGCGAATGGGACTTTGGCTGCCCAGAATCGCCGAAGCGAATGGGACTTTGGCTGCCCAGAATCGCCGAAGCGAATGGGACTTTGGCTGCCCAGAATCGCCGAAGCGAATGGGACTTTGGCTGCCCAGAATCGCCGAAGCGAATGGGACTTTGGCTGCCCAGAATCGCCGAAGCGAATGGGACTTTGGCTGCCCAGAATCGCCGAAGCGAATGGGACTTTGGCTGCCCAGAATCGCCGAAGCGAATGGGACTTTGGCTGCCCAGAATCGCCGAAGCAGATGGGACTTTGGCTGCCCAGAATCGCCGAAGCGAATGGGACTTTGGCTGCCTAGGACTTTTGTTGTTGTTGCTGTTGCTGAAGAACTAAAAAAATTGGATAAATTTTTCAAAAATTATAAAAAGCAAGTCTTGTCCGCAAGTCATAACTACCCCCACCCCCTAAAAAGGTTAATCCCCAAAAAAAGGAAAAGCCACGCATTCTGTTGTAGAACATCTTTGCTAAAAATGGACAACAGAGGACACTAAATGAAACACTAGAGGTCGGCAAAATCGCACTTCCAGGATCCCGAGTCGGGATTTTTTCCTTAATAGATGCCGGGACGGGATCCGGAGGGATAAATCCCGAAGAAATCGCGGATCTCGAAAATCAAAAAAATTCGGGATCCTGTCACGCGCCAACCTCCAATAGAGAGAACGTTAAATATAGAAAAAAGTAAAAAATCAATATTAAAACAAAAAGCCAAAAATAATGGCCGCCAAAACTTGAAAGGCGAAAATTTGAAAACATAAACTTTATTTCTCTAGAAACGTTCTCACACTATTTCGCGAGGGACTTCAAAATGTAAACTCAAAGTATTTCAAAGTGTAAACTAAAAAAATGTAAACAATTTTAAATTTCAAAATCTCTAACTAATCGACAGTTAAAAATGGTCAAATGAAAGAAACTCTTAATTTTGTAGTACGTTTTAAACAAATTTTTTGACCATTCACGTCGTTTCGGGTTTTATGCCATAAAAAAGGGGTAAAAATAATTATTTGAATTTCTACAAGTCGAAGTTTCGATCTTCTTCTTGTGTCAATTTTGAAAAATGTTCAAAAGTATATCGGAAAATTAGTCGAAAAATACGTAGTAGATGAATATAAAAAATTTTTTTAATCCGTCAAAACGGAAAACCCCTCAATTTGTTTTTGCCGTAAAAATAAAAACACAACACTTCTTTGTTCACATCGAATAAAAAGATAATAGTAATAACCACAAAATTCGGCGTCAGTTTGGTGTTGACTTGGTTTTGTTCTGTGCTTAATTTAAAAATATTTATGTTGTAAAAATAAACAATGAAAAATGATAAATTATCCTATCTCTACTCCCTCCTTTATTTTTATTTCCTTTCTTCTTGTTTTTAAATCTATGCGCAAATCAACGACATATGCAAGGATAGCATTGTAAACCCCATTTTACAAAAATATTAAAAAATATTATAATATATCAAAATCATCCAAAAACCTTTCTTCTCTTTTGAATCAAAACTAGGGCAAAAATTGATGGATTGTCATAACAATATTTTTGCCCCTCTGGCTGAAAAAATAGACCCAAAAAAGAAAAATAGATCAAAAGTTTGTAACAGCACAATATGCCGATTCAGCGGCCCCTTTTCCTCCCTCTCCCTTCTCCCGGTAATAATAAAAATAATAAAGCGCGCTGACCAACTAAAACAGAAGAGTAGGAAATAAAAAAAAGAATTTGAGCTGAAAAATGGCAGTAACAGCTGCTCAGACAACAACAACTAAAAGGTGTGTAATGCGCAAAAGGAAGGCCACCATTGTAATATATCACACACAAAAGATGAAAGACAGACATGTGCTGTGTGTAAGGCTGTCTATCACCATATTTTTACCCGACCTCGACAGGTGACCAACCATTTTTGGGGAGTGTAATATACTTGCTACTATTTTTAATCATTTCGCACTATATCGGCATTTGGAGGAAAAAAAGGAAGAAAAAAAGTGGGCGGGAAGTGGCTGATTTTCTTGTCGAGGCCGGCAATGGCGCGATGACCTCCTCCTCTCATAACACACACACACAATAGTTACCCGCCTATATTTTTCGGGTTAACAAGAGGCACATTTAAGCAGCCCGTTAGTTGATACAGATCATCATTCAGTAAGCTCTCCTCTCAACAGCAAATAATAAGAAAAATAATAATATTTGCTTCAGTTGGAGAAGGAAAAAATTATAATTTGCCTTTTTTTTTACTCTCGATATTTTTTCTAGTTTTATCTTATACTTTTTTTATTTATTTGTACAGATTATTTACCCATGTCCCCCTAAAAGGGCCAAAAATAATAAACCAAAAAATAGTCAAAAAATATAAATATTTGACCAAAACATTATGAGACCTGTTAACCTCCCTAAATTTCCCTCTAAAATTAACAATCTAAAAATAATTTTTTAATCCACCTTTTACCTAATTCAAAATCCTAATCCCTCCCAAAATACAGCGGTCCCTTCTTTCTCAACTTATTTACCAAACATTTAAAACGATATGCGAAATTTTGGAAAAATCCGGTTTTCCCAAGTCTCCAGAAAAGTATAAAGTAATAAATAAATAACTGATCCTAATCTCGCCAATCATGCTACGCGCAGTTTACTTCTATAAAAGAATATTTTATTTTCAAGCATTATTTTGGGAAATTTCTTCACTCATCCAAAAATTTGAAAGAAAAAAAGGAGGGGCGGATCCCAACTTATTCATACTTAATAAATCCTTTCGCGTTTAATCTCAACTATATATTTACGCGATATTAATAATTAAAATTAAATGCTTCCAATTTTTAGAGCATCAATTTTCAACTCTATTAAAATGCGAGCTTTCTTAATTTCCATTATTTCTCTTACTTTGATCATCTCCTTTGTGATTGCCAATACTGCTGACAAGACACAGGCATCGGTAAAAGATTTTTTAAAAATTCAAAAAAATATTTCAACAATAAAACAGGACTCAGCAACAGGCAATATTGAGCATGGCAACAAAAAGGAAGAAACTGCTGCAGAGAAACGCGCAACTATTGGTGAAGAAAAGAAAATTGCCGCAGATGAAGCTTCCCTTCCTGCAGCTGGAATTTCAAAAGAAAATACTGGCAAATTAGAAAATAAGCGTGAAGAAAGCAAAATTGAAGGACAAGGACAACAACATCAAGCAAATGCTGAAGAAACTAATGAAAAGAAGAATGAGAAGAGAGATGAACAACGTGCAAAGAATGCTGAAGAGAAACAAGAAGGTATTGAACGTCGATCTGATGAACGCCGTTCTGAATCTAAAAGAGGAGAGGCTGAATTAGAAAAGGGCCAAAACAAAGAAAACATTGAAACAAGCAAAACTGAGAAGCACGAAAGCAAAAAGCGCGATACTGAAGTTCAAAAGAATGAAGGAAAGACTGAGGGAAAGCGTGAAGAAACAAACATTCATGGAGCAGCAGCAAACACTGAAGAGAAGAAAACTGTTGCAACCGAAGAAAAACAACACAACAAAAGAGAAGAAATTGCTGGAGCTGAAATTAATAAAGATGAAGCAGCAGCAAAAACTGGATTGGCACCAGCTACCAACAACAACAATGAAAAGCGTGAGGAAACTGGAAAAGCAACAGAACAGAGAAAAACTGCTGAAGAAGGAAAGGAAAAGAGAGATGAAATAACTGGAAATAATGAAGAAAAGAAGATTACTGGACATGAAGAAATCACCAAAAAGACTGAGAAGCGTGATGAGGCTGCCGCTGCAGGAACACCTGAAGAAAGGAAGAATGTTGGAACTGAAGAAAAACGTGAAGATAAACGTGAGGAAGCTGTTGCACCAGAAGAGAAGAAGGAAGAAATTGAAAAGGAAAAGAATGTTGAAACTCCACGCAAACAACAGAAACGATGGGCTATCCGTGCTGTGCGAGCTTTGTTCTAAAAAGGGAAGAGGAAAACGAAAAAAAGTGTTTTTGAGGATGGGTGAAGAATTTAAAAAAAGAAATCAGAAATGAGGGGAAAATTAAAAAAAAGGCAATTAATTAATTTTTAAAAATTTAAGAAAACGAGATGAATTCAAAAAAATTGAACACAAAACAAAAAATTAATTAATTGCCCAAATTCTTTTTATTATTATTAATTTAATAATTATTTGAGGCATTTTTACCTAATGGTTTCTTAAAAATACCCTTTTCTCCTAAAATTGTGTGTAATTTGCGCAATATATTATTTTTCTTATTATTATTAAAACTCATTAAAATTTGTTAACAAAAATAAAATTCAAGCTTTTTAAATGTGTGCCTCTTGTTTTTTTTTGGAAAACTTTTTTTTTTGGAAAAATATCGAAAAAATTCTTTAGGTCATAGGGGGTGTCCCTTATAAAAAAATTGTCAAAAAATTAAAAAAATATATTTAAAAGAAAATACCTCTCTCCATCCATTTTCCTATACATTTACACTTCCAATTAAATACATTCCATAGATTCGCCGATGTTGTTCACTTTGAAAATTTGGTTTAAATCGTATTTTGATAATTTCATCAAATCCTTCTTCTAATTTTGGTTCCTTAAATTTTTTAAAATTTAAAAAATTCTATTGAAAAATTTAAAAAAACCTTATAACCAGCAAAAAAAGTTTTTATAACGACTTCATTAATATTTTTATGTGCTTCATCTCCACCATCTTCTATAATTTTTCGATATTCATTATTGTGAAGTGAATGTGACAATGAACAATCAAAAATAAAACAGCGGCAAGGAATGTTTAGAGATTTGGCCAAATCGCAATATTTCTTTCTTTAAAAATAAATTTAAAAAAATTTAAAAAATTTGGTAATTTTTGGATAACCCGCGCCCCTTCCTAATTTGAATCCCATGTCAGTTATTCCTTCTTCATGCCTATCATTTATTACCTCAAGCAAGAATAGGGATCGCGCCGACCTAATTCACGATTCCCGAAAATCGTGAATTTCAGACGATTTTTGGCTCGTGAATTCCCGATTCACGAAAATCGGGAATTTGGTTTTCTGTCGGCGCAATCCCTTGTAAGTACAGTCGTAAAAAATAAATTTTATTTCTAGCAAAAAGTAACGAAAAATGGAGGAATAACTGATACACAACTTGGAGGGGGAAGAAGTCCAAAAAGTACCAAAATAAATTTAAAAAAATTAAAAAAAAACCTAATATCTAATCCTCTATTTGTATTATCAACAATTACACTTGATCCATTTTCCAATACTTTTTTACATTTATCAAAACAATTTTGCCAAGTTTTTAATTCATCTTGATTTATTATAACATAATTGTCTTTATATTTTTGTGAAAATGTGCTTTTTCCACAAGCTGGAGGGCCAACAAGTAAAATTAATTCTTGTGAAGAATTTGGTATTTTGACATTTTCTAATAAAAAATTTAAATAAAAAGGAAAAAAAATTATTTAAAAAACCTGGCTCAAATTCATTTAAATTTGAAGAATTTTCCATCATTTCTAAAGAATTAAATTTTGGTAATAAAAAATCTTCTTCAATTTGTGAATTGCTAGGAAAGAAAAATTGTTCTGGAGTATAAAATTTAAGTCCCAAATTCATTGCAAAAAGACGGTCAACACAAGAATGATCTGATTTTGGGCGATTCTAAAAAAAATTATAATTTGAATAAATAGAAATATAATTACGTTGTTCTTTGTTCTTCCAGCAGCCTAAAAATTTAAAATAAAATTTTAAGAAAATATTAAAGTTATAAAAAAAATTTTGTGATGCGAATAGAAATAAGTAAAAATATACAAGAAAACGTCAGGATAGTCGAACCTACATCTAAAAGGTTATGAAGTCGAGAACGAACCCACTGAACCACATAAACAACAAACGGGTACGTTATAATTAGTATCCATAATCAAAAGAATAAACTAAAATCAAGATTAAACTTAAGTTAGGCTAAAATTTTACGCTTAAACTAAAAAAAGCTACATTCTTAAGTTTGTCACCTCACAACCTTTCCTTTTAAAAATTAAAAAAAATAACCAACATCTCCAACATAAAATGATTCACTTTTTTCTATTCCAATAGATCCATTTTCACTTTCCACAAGTTTATCCCACATTCCTTGAAAAATAAAAAAATATAAAAATTAATTCAAACTAAAAAAACCTGTATAAGGTTTTCGAAAATTTGGAGTTCCAATTGATACAAAAACCTAAAATTGAAATTTAAAATAGAACTTTGAATAAGAATTAACTTGAATAGGTACACCAACAGCTGTACAAATATTTTGAATTTTAATTTTGAATCCAGCAGCGTCAACATGTTTTTTCTAAATAAAAATTTTGTTTAAAAATCTAAATTTGATTCTAAAGAACAAGTAACTCTTGTAGAAACCAAAGAGGGACTATATTCTAATAACAGAAAGGAAAATATACAAAGGAAAATTCTAAGATTGTACTGAACCCAGAGACAAGTTTTGGCCCGCATACTAGGACAATTCAAGCATGACAAAAAAAAAGATTGGTCTAGTTGTAAGTAACAACAACATTAATGGGGATCCTACCACACAATTAAAACAATTCGTTCCCTTAACCAATCGACCAAACACACAACCGTTAGGCAAAAAATATTTTTAATAAAACAGAAAAACAACCTAACCCCTGAATCATACCAACCCAACTCCTGAATATTAAAAAATCACAAACCTGGATTCCCATTTGATTTGTAAATATACACAATTTAAACCCTTCTTCATGACATCTCCTCAATCTTCCAATAGTACCTCTTGACCAAAATTGCCAGTCATCATTATTTAGAGGGAAAACACGTCCAGATTTTGTTTTAATTAAAGTACCATCTAAAATTTAATACAATTTTTATTTAAATTAAAAAAAAATATACCCATATCAAAACCAGCAATTTTTGATCGATGCAAAATTCCTTGAGGTGTGTAAATCATTAATTGATCAGTCAAAACACGCCATGTTCCGTGAATTTTTTGAGCAGAAGCGTTGAGAAATATTGGCGCTACAAGATAAAATCAAAATAAACCCAAATTAAAAAAATCAAACCAATTTTTGCTGAAGGTTGTGATGAGGATTCTTCTTCTGTTTTTTGTAATTCTGTATCGTCAATTTTTCTCTTTGACATTAAAATAAATTTGAGATTAGAAGTCCTATCTAATAAGGAAAAATAAAGAAAAGTTAAACAACAAAGTATACAAATCGTCCAAACAATTTTTAAATATGTTAATTAAAATGAGTAAATACTCAAAATTTTTATTCCAAATAAAAATTTAAAGAAAACACAAAATTTCTTATTCAAAAAAATTTCAAGAATATTGATAAAACATAGTCCCGTCATTCATTTGATTACAACTTATTTTAAAAGATCCAAGTTTAACATTTTCATTAGATTTTATTTTTCTTCCATTAAGTTGAGGGGGAAGACAAGCAACCAATTTGGGAATGGCATCAGGCGACGAACAAAGAAAAACAAAATTTTGGTGATCCAACTGCGTGTCTAAAAAATCTTTTTATATAAAAATTTAAAGAATTAAAGAAACCAATTTTCTTGTCAAAACACCAATTTTTCATCTCATCGTTAGAATTTAAAATATTTGTACTGCTTGAATTTGTTGAACTGCCTGAACTTGTCGTTGAATTTCTGCTTTGAGCAACATGCCATTCACGTCTAACAATTCCATTTGGATCATTAGGATCAGCTCGTTTACAAGAAAGAATCATTCCAGGAGATTCCTCAACTTCAGAACCAACAGCAATACGAGATTGACGATCCTCACGTAAACAAGCAACAACTTGAGCAACCATTATAGGAACAGGATTTGAAGGTATTTGATGACAAAGAAAAACAAAATAGTCCCCAACAATCTGAGAAGAAAAATATTTTTTTATTTTAAATTTTTGTTTAAAAAATATACCCATTCTTCTCCATCCTTTCTTGTTTTCCCTTCATTATCCAAGCAAGTTTTTACAACATTAGCAGGTTGTGGATTAACAACAATTCTCCATTCTCTTCTAACCATAATTGCAGGATCATTTGGATCAACTTTACGACAAACCAAAAATTTTCCTGGAGATTCTTCAACTTCTGAACCAACTGGGATTCGAGTTATTTTATCATCACGAAGACAAGCAATAACTTCTAGTTGCATAATAGGCAACGAATTTGGATTTAAAACTTGATGACAAGTAAATACAAAATAGTCAGACACAATCTAAAATTTTTAAAGAAAAAATTTTTAAAATTAACATCAAAAACAGACCCATTCCTCTCCATTTTGTCGTCTTTTGCCTTCGATATCCAAACAAGTTTTGTCATTTTCAACAGGTTTTTTCGCTTCACCAATTCTCCATTCTCTCCAAACAATTCCGGTAGGGTCAGAATCAGCTCTTCTACAAACCAAAAATCTTCCAGGAGTTTCTTCAACTTCAGAACCAACAGGTATTCGAGTTTTTAAATCTTCTCGAAGACAAGCAATTATTTCAACTTGCATTATTAACCAAGAACTTTGATTTGATAAAACTTGATGGCAAAGCATGACGAAATAGGTGCCAACAATCTATGAAGATAAACGTCTGACAAAAATTTTTATTTAAAAAAATACCCATTCTTCACCATTTTGTCTTCGTTTTCCTTCATTATCAAAACAAGTATTTGCTTCTTCAAGAGATTTAGGTAAAGGCACATACCTCCATTCTCTATGTACAATTCCAGTCAAATCATTTGGATTATCTCTTCTACAAACTAAAAACTTTCCAGGATATTCTTCAACTTGAGAACCAATTGGAATTCGAGTCTTTTTATCTTCTCTAAGGCAAGCAACAACTTCAATTCGCATAATTGGCCAACTGGATTCATTTGATATTTTGTGACAAAGCATTACAAAGTAATCGCTGGCAATCTAAAAATGAAAAAATGAATATTGATAGCTAAAAGAAATGTTGAGCACTGAAGGTAGAATGACAGACACGTCGAAAATTCTAAATACATGACTTATCAGTCCTATAGTAAGAATGAAAGGATGACGTATAAAAGATATGGAAGACCCACCAAATAGATATGGAAGCCCCATCAGGCCTACATGAAGAACGACAAACCCTTGAAGACTCCCTGAACGAATACGGAAGCCAGTTAGGCTTAATAGAAGGACAAACTCCTTGAGACCCACCGAAAAATATTGAAACCCAACCACCCCATTTTTGGCAAAATATTTTTAAAATAATTAAAATAAACAAACCCATTCTTCTCCATTATTTCGTTTAATCCCTGATGTATCAGTGCAAGTATTAAATGATGATAAATGGTCACCACTTTTGCGTTGCTGACTTGGCGCCTCTTTTTTAAGAAATTCGGCATTGTTGCTTCCATGATTCTTAAAAATTGCAGCAAAACAAATATTTAAAAATAATAAAATAAAAAATAAAATTTGCATCAAAAACATTTTTTATTGAAAAAACAACCAAAATATTTATTTTTATCTCAAAAAGTTGTTGAAGGCAAGCAAAATAAATAATATAAGTTAATGAACAATTTTCTAGTATCCACCCATAGTTTTTCCCTATTTATTCAGTTTTTTTCTTAATTTCTTTATCCATTTTTTAATTCCAAAAAAAAGTTTTTTTTATTTATCAAGGTCAAATCGGTTATTTTTATTTTGATAATTTTGCAAAAAAGCAAAAATATGCAGACAGGAATGAGACAAGGACATTACTTAATTTATGATATTGCCGGTTAGAGCCAGGAACGAATATTAGAAAAATGTTCTCAAATAATTTTAAAAATGCAAAAATTTTAAAAGAAAGACTTCCAAAAAAGATTAACCAAAAATTGCAAAATTAAATAAATTTAAAACAATACTAATTAGTTTGACTCACGGCTTTTTTCCAAAAAATGTACGTAGCGACTGCATTCCTGTAGTGGCTACTTGAGCAAATTTCGAAGGACGCTGAAAAATATAAATTTTGAATTGATCCTATTTTCATTAATAAATTAACCTTTTTTGTAGGAATAATTTTCTTTGGTTGTTGCAAAGCTCTTTTTCGAGTTGAAGTATCAATTGAAGAATATTCCTTAATTTCATCTTCTTTGTTAAGTAAAAGGTGAGAACGAAGCAACTGATCAGTTGATGGAGTTAAATAATCTGACAGAATACCCATTGAATAATGATCAAGAAAAACATCTGCTTGGATAAATTATTAAAATTAAATTTAAAAAAATTCAAAAATAAAAGAAATCGATCCTGAGGAGAACAAAAATAAGCAAAAAATGAGAAGAACTGCGAGGGCATCGAACCCTGACCCGAGGTCGGAAAAACCAAACAACTAACCACTCAACCACCCATGCTACTTAAGAGAATTACACTATTAGCTACTAAAAATTACAGCAGTTACTGAAAAATAAAACAAAGCAAAAAATTTTCACCTCCACGTCCTTCAACTGACACGACATTCTTCTTAACAGTTTCCTTCAGAGAATCAAATTTAATTTTTAACCAGCTAACGAGTTGATCTTCATTTAGACGAAATTTTTTGGTTCCCTTGCTTCCTATAAAATTTATTTGAATAAAAATTTATAAAAAGCAAACCTTCACATTCAGTAACCAAAGGCAAAGCTTTCAACAATTTTTCATTGTTTGACAATAATTTAAGTGGAGACTCATCAAAAAGTTGATCAAGTGAAAGAAACGTTTCTTTTGACTCTTCCAAAAGTGGAAGAATCAGAAAAAGAGGATGAACAGGGAGAAACTAGAAAAAAATACTTAAAGTATACTGAAGTAAAGACATACCAAAAGAATCGTTCCCGGGTCAGAAACAACAGAATCACCAACAAAAATCGACCGCTTTTGTCCTTGCTCAATTTTCATTAATTCAAATGGATTTCCTTCTTCATCAATCTAGAAATATTTAATTTAAGCAAATGACAAAGAGAAAAATCAAACCATAAAAAGAACAGGCCTTCCAAATTTTGGATGTGGCAACCGATGGATTTCTCCTGTATTTGAGCCACTTTTCATAATAAAAATCTTTCGATGATAGCTGAGATCTGACGCTGGTAATGTAAAAGAATTTTCATTCTTGTCATCCATAAAATCGTCGTCTTCGTCTTCATTGGTTCCAATAGATGTTTTTGAACACACTGAAACTACATCGGAATCATCTTGTTTTGTTGCCTTCTTGTTAGTTTTAGATTTGCTGTTAGTTGAAGCTCTGGATGAAGATCGAGCTGGCATTAATATAAAATAATTAGTAAATCCTTAAAATAGAAATTTTTTAATAAAGGAAAATTTGTTCAGACAAATTAGTACCCAGAGTAAAATAGATGAAAAGGTAATAAACTAAATGGTACTATGAGAAAATTGGACAAAATGGTACGCGAAAAATGGTACATACCATTTTGACTAATACCATTTTGTTTAGTACCATTTTGAGAAGTGTCAAAAAGAAAAGGAAGCAAAAAGGGGTAGGGGATCATTGTGTACCGGCCGTTTGTGTACCTGGCCATATTTTGGGCCATAACTTTTTCAATTCTTAATTGATTTAAATAAATAATATATCAATTGAAAGCCCTGGATGTGAGGATTATTTTCGCCAACAGGATTGATTTGATCAGATCATCATACAAAAAGTTACAGACAGATAAAGATCAAAATCACGATTGAGCGCATTTATCGAGATATAACTTTTTATAACATGATCTGATCAAATCAATCCTGTTGGCGAAAATAATCCTCACATCCAGGGCTTTCAATTGATATAATAATAATTGAAGTCGGTTAAGAATCAAAAAAGTTATGGCCCAAAATATGGCCAGGTACACAAACGGCCGGTACACAAGTGGGACGTTCCGAGCAAAAAGAAAAGAAGAGGCGAAATAGTGTGTGAACAGTGAAGCATACAAAAAATTTTCCCGCTTAATTTAGATAAGTACATAAGAGTCTCGTCACTCGAGTCTACCAAGGCTCAGGGAAAACAGTCAACAGGCTACAACAAAATTGAAATTTTCGAAAAAAATAATCAAATTTCCGACAACTATCAAAGAATTCTTTAAAAAATTTATTAAGCACTATTTAGAAAGAAAAATAATTATTTATAAGTAGTGGATTTAGGAATTTTGTAAGATATAATGGATAAATGCAAAAATAAAAAAAAAGGTGGCTTGAAAGCCAGATCAATATAAAAATGAATTTTGAGGGGAAAAAAGAAGAGCAATGTTATTCCCCCTCTTTTTCATTGTTTCACTTCCTTTGCTTGTTCTGCTGGATGATCTTCTGATTGTAATGCATGTCCAGCATTTTCTAAGCCTTTTCCTTCAAATTATTTTTATTAAAACTTTGTTAAAAATTTTCATCCTTTACCAACAACATTCCCCGTTTCTTTTGCTGCTTCAGAAATATCTTCACTTACAACTTCAGCTGTTCCCTTCACTTTTTGACCTGCGGCATTTGCTAGATTAACAGTAGCATCTTTAACGTTTGTTGCTGCGGTTGCTGTTAAAATTTTTGAAAAAATAATTTTTAATAAATTTGCGGACATATTTTTGCGGATTTTTCCCAATTTTCCCTATTTTTACTCAAGGTTAGCCCTTAAGCACCCAATTACTCAATAGAGATTATTTTAGAGTTAAAACAAGCATCACAGTCTCATATCAGTGAAAAAGTCCGTAAAAAAGTTCGGTAAGACACCCTCCCCTTCCCCAACTTTTTACAAGTCCCCACAAATTCCTTCTTATTTATGCTAATACAATTACTAGCAAACCTAATTATCTTTCCCCATTTATTCTTTTAAAAATTAATACCCACCAACAGTTTCCCCAGCCACTTTCCCAGCATTTACAGCTGTTTCACCGACCACCTTTGCACCAGCAACGACTTTGTCTTTAGCACCAACAGCTGCATTAGCTAAAAAAAATTATGGAAAATTTATATAAAAAAATTCAAAAAAAAAAAAACTAACCAACAGCTTGTCCAGCATTAGAAGCAGCACCAGCAATCGAATCGCGAACAGCGGCAGCTTTTTCAGCTAAATTCATTTTTTTTATTTTTTCTAAAAAAATTTTTTTGGCTTGTTATTTATCTTCAATTGAATGAACAGCAGTTAGAAAAATTGACTAAAAAAATATTTTTTTAAGTGAAAGGGAAGAATGATAAAGAGACGAAAGGGGGGGGGGGGGGAAGGAAGGCTTTTTGGCTAGAAGAAAAAATAAAAATAAGGCCAAAAGCAGTTGGAATGAAAAAAACCGTAAGTAAAACCCTCCCCCCCTTCCTTCTTCATTCCCTTTTTTCTTTTGCGCCATTTTCTTGTTCCTCCTTTTTTCATTTAATTTATTCCCCCTTACAAAGGCATAAATAACACCCCAATATAAGGGTTAATGAAGTGAAGGGGTCGCAAAAAAAAAATTTTTTTTTGAAAAATTTTCAGAAAATTTTTCGGAAATTTTTTTAAAAATTTTTAAATAATTATTGCCTTAAATTGCCGAAAAATGCCATTATCTTCCCTAAAAATTTTGTCAAAAAAATTTTTTTTTCGAAAAGGAACTGAAAATGACAACTTATAATTACAGCAAATAACAAGCCTTTTTTATGTTAAAAAAGAAAGAAAAAAATTGTCGAGACCTAAACTATTTTACTTTTAAAAAATATTTTTTTTCTAGTTTTTTTCCCATATTTTCTATTATTCCTACTATTCCCCTCTTAAAACTAACTGAATGAATCTCCTGCTTCTTTTGCCCTGTGTTTGGCGCTTTCTCTCACGTCTGCTGCTTTCTGGCCTGAAAATGACGGCAAAATTGAGAGAGGTTGAAAGGAAGAACAGAGTAATTTGGAAATCGATTTTGCGGTTTTAAGCAAAAAAAAGCGGCTCCCATACAAAATACCGAATTCTTAAAATATGGAATCTCAAAATCGCGAATCGGCTAAAAAAGCTCAAAATATGGAATCTCAAAATATCGAATCTCAAAATATGGAATAGGCAAAAAAAGCTCAAAATATCGAAAAATATCGACAATGCGGCAAAGGCCAGTTGAGTCTGAACAAAGTTGTGACCAACTTCTTCGTAAAAAAATTTTAAAAATAAGAGAAAGTATTTTTCTAAGGTAAAAAAATGTGCTGATTACGAATCTCAGCTCGGATTTTGAAAAAGTCGAATCCCGGACCCGAACCGAATTTCGAATCCCGAACCGAATTTCGAGTTTCCGAATGATAGCTCATCTGAAAGAGCACGTCGAGCTGCATCGAATGATACCAAAATCAATGAAATCCGACCTGATTGGACTGAGTTACAGATCCCTGAATAATCAGAAAAAGACCTGCAGCGGCACTCAAACGGCCCTTTTCGTTTTTAAAAAATTCGACATTTTTAACTACTTTTTAGCCGATTCGGTATTTTGAGCTTTTTTGGCCGATTCGCGATTTTGAGATTCGATATTTTAAGATTCCATATTTTGAGCTTTTTTGGCCGATTCCATATTTTGAGATATTTTTACCGATTCGCGATTTTGAGCTTTTTTAGCCTATTCGCGATTTTGAGAATTCGGTATTTTGTGCGGGCACGAAAAAAGCCACTGGGACTGGGCAAAGAAGGGGCTTTTTTGAATGAGGGGGAGAATGTGCGCCATAAAATTCAGCGCTAAATTTTGAGTTTAAAATTTTGAGTGGCGCACAAAAAGGGGAGGAATGGAGAATTGTGATGAGTAAAAAATGAGGGAAATTGAGAGGAGGGAATAGGGCAAGTGGAAAGAAGGAGGAAGAAATTTGGGAACAAATGACAAATGGATGGATGTCATTTTATAAAGGAATATTTGTTTATAAGTAAGGGGAGATATGTGTAAAAATTATTTTTCACTCAGAATTGAGTTCTGTGGTAAAGGGAAAGGAAGAATTTGGATGACCAAAAATCTTCGTTTGGGTTGTGGTGACATATCTACGGACAGGCCATGGCAAAACTCACCAACGGATTTGAGTTTCGGTACCACTCGATAGTGTAGAAAATTAGCTAGAAAATAAAATATGAAGAAAATTTTGAGAAAATGAAGGGCTTAAACCGAAAAAGATTTTTCTAAAGTTTTTGGCTTTTCTGAGATTTACGCTATCGACTGGTACTTATTTTAGAAACACCTTACTTAAAATCCCCAAAATTAAATTTTTAATTCACAAACCAAATTTTTCTGCTGCTCCAATCGCCGTGTCTCTCGCCCCATCTGCAATGTTCTCAATTCCTTTGCCTAAAAAATTAAAGAGAATAAAAAGGAAATTTTTTTCCAAAAATAAACCGAGATTTTCCAATCCGTTTTTTGCCTTTTCCGAGCCAGATTTAATTAATTGATCCTCTTTAGTAGTGGGAGCTGTGTGGACTGTTGAAATTATTAAAATAAATGGAATTATGAAGGCGGCAGAAGGCACATTGGCAAAGTCTTTGAACATTTTTTGTTGGGCTGCGACAATTGGAAGAATTAAAAGAGCAGCCGAAATTTGAAGAGTTTAATGAAGAAATGATTGGGAGAAAAAATTATTTTGATGAAGAAAAGTGTATCTAGAAGAAGAATATTTGTTAAAATAAATTTTAGAATAAAAATTTTAAGTAAAAATAAAAGTTAGAGCCGTTGGGATTCGAGTCCCCTACCTCTTACCCCTAAATCAGGAACACTACCAACTACACCACCAACACATATAACTTAATTTTAATTTATTTACATACATATTTATCAAAATAATTATTCTTATTCACAAGGAAACCAAAAACAGTTTCTGCTGGTCTTTAACCATTTTGAGAAAGAAAATTTTAATCTTCTTACTTATATATAAACATTTTTGTAAAATCAAGTTTTTTGATAATTGCTAATTTATTTAGGGAACTCCTTAAAAAGGAAAAAAATAAAAAAGATAAGAAAAAAGTTTACGGAATTAAACGACTCACAAAAAATGATTGTTTTTAGTAGAAAATTGCTATAATCAAAAATTTAATGGAACAATAAAAGGAAAAATCTGTCAACTGGAAGGAAATTACCTTTATTTTCAAATAAAACAACTAAAAAATGGGGGCTAATTTTTACTACAAAAATAAAAAAATTTTTCAAAAAACGTCGAAAATGTTACTTAAATTGGAAAATTTAATTAAAAATTGCCTAAAATTTTTGACAAGGTTAAAGACCAAATAGAACATTTTCTTAATAGAATTTGTACCAAAAACCCTTTCTCCTAATAAAATTCGAAAACAAAATTTTTAAAGGTGACAATTTAAGCGTTTCAAACCTGTGATGATTATTTCTTCTCTCTCCCATTTTGATTTCATTATCAAGTCAGGTGAACGTCACAAGAAAAAGCTTTCTTCATTCAACGTCTTTTTAATCGTCTTTAATCGTCACATATCGAACAACAAAGAAAAAAGAAGCCCAAAGACCAACAAAGATTTTAAAAATAAATTGGGATCAATTGTCATCTTTTTTTTAATTTTGCTAAAATTTTTAACAAAAAAATTAAAGGAGTTTAAACTTTCCAATATTTATTTAAAATTTAAAAAATATAATTTATTCTTTATGCATTTTCGAAAAATTACAGTTAGAAAAAAAATTTTCCTTCATCAAAAATATTTGAAAAAAATAGAGAGAAATAGGTAGGTAGACAAAAATAGTGAGCGAAAAGAAGGAAAATATAAGAATTGAAAAAAATCAGAATTTATCGAAAATCAGAAAAAATCAGAAATATTATTTAGAAATTCTGGAATTTTTTAAAAATTATTCTGATTTTGAAATTATTCTGAAAATATGAATAGAAAAATAAGAAAAAAAATTTTTAGAGAGGCTTTTACATTAAAAATTAAAATAATACATAAATATCAATATTTAAAAAAATATATGAAATAGATGAAAGATAGTTAGAAGAAAATAATTTACAAGATTTTTGTTTTAAAAGGGAATGGTAGAAAAAATTAAAAAATTAATTTAAAAAAAAACCTCTTAGAAATTAAAAAATATTCCTTAAGCAGTCACAACAGTAACTACTTCAAATTCTTGTCCAGGAATTTCTTCAGATGCATAAAATATTGCATGTGCAAGCATTAAAAATAATCCAGTTCCAATTACCCAATACATTACAGAGCCAGCATTTGCAAGGTAAAATAGTGGAATACAAACCATCAAAGCAAAGGTGTACAAAAGGCTTGGTGGGACCTGCTCGGAAAGGGGGAAATTAAAAAAAAATATAAAAATTTTGAAAATTTGGATCAAATGTCATCCCTTTAAAAAATTCTTTTAAAAATAAAAAACCTCGAAACTACCGGAAAGGAAAAAATAAAAAATCTCAGGGATGGGATGAAATGTCATCTCATTAGAAAATTAATTTTTTAAGAAAAAAACCCTTAAAACCTGCTTGGGGAGAAAAAATTTTTAATTAAAATTTTTGAGGGGTTGGGATAAAATGTCATCTCATTAAAAAAATCTTTTAAAAAAACCTCATAGCTTCCAAAAAATATTGGTCCTTTCTGTGTTCGTTGATAAATTGTGTAGCAAAGCCCAGCCAATGCCACTAATGTCAAAAGCATTAATAAAGATGTCAAAATACAATAAATTAGTAGAGCAACAAACAAGCACAAATAATTGCTTAGAAAATGTTCCAAATTATGCTTAACTCTTGGACCGATAGAGACAAGTCCTGGTGGGAATCCAAATTTGGAAGGACGGAAGAAATCGCTCCAAGGTTGAAGACGCGCTCGAAGTTCGCCAAGAAGGCGAAATGCTGAAGCTGAACACGTTGGTGGTTGTTGCTGTTGATCCTAAAGATAAGGAATGGGGGTAGGAGGGGAAAGCAAAGACATACATTTGCTTCGGAATCGAGAACAAAATTAAAAATTTTCCTAAAAAATTTGAGGTCCCATACACAAAAACAGCAAAATTCCTCCTCTAAAATTCCCCGTAAACCCATGCCTCTAGTTCAAAAATGATAAAAAAAACTTCTCTTACTCCTTGTTGTTGTCCTCCTGCGCCTCCAAAAAATGAAGCAAAACCTCCAGGAGCTGGAGATGTACTCGAAGAGAACCACGAAGCTTGTTTCTGTGTATATTGTGGAGGTGGATCCATTGGGGCTGTATTTGTGGAAGCTGTTGAAGTTTTTGTTAAATTTTGTTGTTCAAGTTTATGTCGTTCAGTTTGTGGACTTGAATTGTTCGAAGAACTTGAACTTTTCTCTTGTTCTTCTTTAGTTATTTCCTCTTTACCAGTTGTTGGTTGCTCGGTTTGCCTTTTGGCTACTTGCTGTTGTTGTTGATGCTTAATTTTGTTGGATCTTTCGACAAAACTTGGGGACTCTGGAAAAATAAAAAAATAAGTTTAATAAAAGAGAAACTGATGCGTAGATAAAAAAAATTAGATTAGAGATCTCGCGATGGATTTTTGACAAGGAATGGGGGAATGAGTCCAAAGCCGGTTCTGGTACCTTTCCAGTTGTTTATAGGCTTGGTTTTTCTAACTCTGGGTCCAACAAGAACCAGACTAGAAAAGGATCAGACCCGAGGGAGCAGACCCCCTGTAGCCCAGAAAAATTTTTTTCAATCGACCCCAAACCTAAAATGAAAATCACAAAAAATATAAAAAAAATTCTGTAAATACTCAAATATAGCAATTTTAGTAAAAAAAAAGAGACAAAATTTTGTGATGAAAGAAAAATGAATATATCTTTAATAAGTCACACAATCAATGTTGACGAATAGAGGAGGAAGGCGCAGAGTATTTATGTGTGTTGATGAATGTAACGAAGCAAACGTTCATTCAAAAAAAATATCCTTTTTTCTCTCTTTCCCTTTTCTCTTTTTTTTACTACACCAATTTCCCGATATTACCAATTTTCCCGAAAATGCTAGTATTTTTATAAACAAAACACGTGTCAACAACCAGAAAATAATAGCTTAAAAAAACTTGATTTCATATCATTTTTATGTATCAAAAATCTGTTGGATTCAACAATTTTAGCTTTAAAAAATTCCGTATTTTCTGAAAGACTCTAATAGACGCCTTTATTTTTTGGCTGCTGGCATTTGAAATGTTGGTCTTTTGGGATGTTTAAAAATTAAAATTTTCGGGTTGGCTCTTGGGAATAGAGACCGAACCGGCACGAGAACTTGGTCAAAAATCCTCCCAGTCCGATCTCTCTTGGGAGTCGAATTTTTCTTAAAAAATCATTACCAATCACAACAACATCAGAAAATTCATCGCTGTCATCCGAATCATTTTGCTGCATCTCTGACTTTTCCTCAATCTTTTTTTCTTCCTTAATTTCGGTCGTCGTTGTATTCTCTGCAAAAACAAAAATAAAAAATTTATAAAAAACTAAAAAAACCTTTCGAATTCTCCAAAGTATTGCCAATTTTATTGTTGCTCATTTTTTAAAAATGGTTAGAACGTTGTAATAATACATATAAAAAAAGAGAAAGGAAATATTCTTCTCGCACAATGTTGCTGCTGAAAATCCTCTTATGTATATCTTAAATTAATAAATTAAATAAATACCGGTTAAAAAAAAAGAGAAAATTAAAAAAAAGAAGGAAAAAAATATTTTGTTTTTAATTGAAAAAAATTTTTTTTGAAGATTACTACATAATAGAATTATAAAAATGATAAAAATAGATATAAAAATATTTTACTAAAATAATTAAAAATAAAATAAAATTATTTTATTAAAAATGTTTAAAAATTTAGAAAAAAAAATTCATAAAAATTAAAAAAAATTTTTTTTAACTGATAAAAAATGGTTGCAAAAATATTAACTAAAAAATTATTCTGGATTGGCTATTTTTAGCATACATTTTACTTAAAAATAAAAATTCTGCCATATGTCTTTTTTGCTTTTAAAAAAGTAAAAATAAAAATAAGATTAATTTACGACATGTCGGGACAGAAAAAGGACAAAAAGAAAAAAAAACAAAAAAAAAAGAAAAAGTTTAAAAATCCAGAAGATCGTCAAATTAAAAATAAAAGGAAAGAGAATTGGGGTGATTAAAGGGAAGAGAAAAGTGCACCCGATTCGATAGAGATAAAAAATAAAAATATTGAAAATTTATGGAAATACAAACAAACATTTTAAAATTGTAAAGTAGGAAAAAATTAAAACGTGGAAATAAAAAAATAAAAAACAAACATATGTATGTAGGAAAAAGTGGTTGCTAAGGATTTCTAAAAAAGTGCCTCAGAAAAATCTGTCCAGAAGAATAAAATAAAAATGAGGGGTAGGACAAGAAATATGGGAAATTCAAGGCCAGGAGGAGGGTTAAGAAAATAATTTTTAAAAAGAATAATGCGCAGAAAATCCAAGAAAAATCCAAGAAAAAATGGCATTTATGCCGTTAAAAAATAATAAAAAAAGGCAGATGTGTGACCTTAAAAGAGTGGGTAAATGTATTTTGTTTGTATGTTTTTCTGTCAGCTGCTGTGTGCGCCGCGCTGGGAGAATCAATACAAATGTATATTAAAAAGCTAGGCAAAATAAAAAGAAAAAAAGGAAATAAAAAAATTTTTACAATTTTGAAATTAAAAAAAACTTAAAGAGCAACTTAAAAATGAAAAAATAAAAAAGAAAAACAAGGCGGGACTAAAAGGGAGTCGAACCTCCACCCTCATTACCTCAGCAAAATTAACAAAATCCCACTAAACCAAGAGAGACAAAACTTTACAGAATTTTTTTACATTTTGAAATTTAAAAAACTTAAAGAGCAACTTAAAAATGAAAAAATAAAAAAAAACAAGGCGGGACTGAAAGGGAGTCGAACCCCCAACCCCCATTACCTCAGCAAAACCAGCAAAATCCCACTAAACCAAGAGAGACAAAACTTTACAGAATTTTTCACATTTTGAAATTAAAAAAAAAACTTAAAGAGCAACCTAAAAATAAAAAAAAATAAAAAGGAAAACAAGTCTGGACTGGAGGGGAGTCGAACCCCCACCCCCATTACTCCAGCAAAACTAACAAAATCCCACTAAACCAAAAGAGACAAAACACAACAGATTGCCAGAAGTCCATGCACAAATCCGGGTGCCTGAATAAGAAATTCTGGCAAACTTTCAGAAAATTTAAAAAACAAGAAAGCTGTTAAAATTGCCAAAAAATGATGTCAATAAAATGAAAGGAATAAACAACAACAAAAAAGAGACAAACAAACAAAAAAAATTATTTACTTCACCCCCACCCACGTATTCACTCAAAGGAAAACAATAACAAACACAGTCGAGAACATCAATAATTGCCAAAATAATTGTCTAGAATAGAGGAGCAGTTCACACATAATTTACATATAATTTTTGGCTAGACACAAAAAATCCGCAAATTTTTGTCCGCAAAAAATAAAATAAAAAAGTGATAAGCTGATAACCGTTTGATTTTTGAAAGTTAATCAAAAAATTTCAAAACCTGTGGAATATCAAAGAGATTAAATCCTCAAAAGTTGCCAACAAAACTTGCGGACAATTGTTTAAAAAGGCAAAAAAAGGCAAAAAAAAGCCAAAAAAGGACACAAAAAAATCCCCAGAGATTATGCCCACCTAAAAGTGTGAATTTTTAAATTATGTATAAAATGAGGAAGGAATAAATTAAAAAATAAAAAAAATATAATTAAATATGCGTAAATTAAATAAATAAAATTAAAGGTATATAAAAAGGAAGAAGCAACATAATGCTTAATTTATTGAGAATTACTTATGATAATAATTTTTCTCAAAATATGTGAGAAGTCGGGTCCACTCATGAATGCCTAGCGTCCCTGAATACCTACACAAATCTGATCAACACAACTTTCTACAAAAACCTCCAAATCCACGTTAATCCTCACTTCTTTTTGCCCTTTTCCTTATACATACATACTCAACCAATCCTAAGGACTGAAACGTTGAACGACCATAATTCGGACCAAAGTCATTTTGCAAAAAAACGGATCACTCGAAGTCGAGGGTCCTCTATAGAATGGTTTAAAAAATTATCAAATTCGCACTGACAGCAAACAATGTTCCCTTGTCAGATATCCCCTCAAATCCCCCGAGTTGTGTTGATCAGAATGGTGTAGACAGTGATAGTCAATAGATAAAGGGGTCAGTAGGCATACCAAAAGGCCCTTTTAAAAATATTTTTTTGCTAAAAAATTCTACAAAAAATCTCACAATTTTCATAAAATTTTTATTTGCCTATTTTTAATATTCCAAAAAGTTTCATTTTTAGAATTGCCCTATCATTAAAAAAATCGGAAATGTCAACGCAATAATTATCTTGAAAATATTACAGAAATCATTAAAAATAAATGGGATATTCAAGTTGCCCTTTTTATTAAAAAATATTTTTTAAACTTTAAAAACCAATTAAATAATAAAATATTACTTGATATTAATCGCTAATTATACAAAAAATTATTTTTACTTCCTTCTAAATACCTATTTTAATAACTTTTATGTTACCAGCAGAACCTGCTAAATATCAGTAGACACACTAAAATATTAACGGATTTTCAACAACACATTAAAAACAATAGAAAAAATAGCCTCATCGACTTCCTCCCAACTTCCGCCTTACTTCCTACTTCCCCCCTCCTCATACTTACTCGACTTCCTCCCTGACCTTTCGAGGAAGACCTCTACTTTAAAAACGGTTGAAAAATAGGATTGTTCCTTGTCCCCGAAAGTCGAGGAGGCTGAAAACTTTTCAAGGAAGCTAACAATAAAACCTTTTTTTCGACTTCCCCCAAATCTTCCATGGCTACATTCACATTCACTTTAACATTAGAGTTCACTATTTTTACATACTGGAAGTGACAATTTTTACAGGTGATTCTCAAACTAGTTAAAAACACATACAAGCCAACCATTTTTAAGAAAGAAACAAAACATTTACTCCAAAAAAACTTTAAAAACAAATTTTTATTTATTTTCAAGTAAAAGGGGGCATCTGAAAATAAATTCTAAATTTGCCTTTCCACATCCGTCCAATCACTTTTTTTCCTATTTCCGTCATCATCAAATAATAAACAAGAATTATTAACTACTACACAAAAAACCCTTGACATTTACCTTTATTTTATTTTTTTTGCCTTTTCTAAATACTTCCCTATTTTGATTATAAATATATTCACATTTATGCGCTAATAAAGCATTTTTCTAAACACATGGCAAAATTAGAAAATAATTTTTTTTGTAAAATTACTCCTTTAAAAGGCAACTGGTATTGAGGAGAACGGCTGCACACATTTTTATTAATGTTACTATATTAAATAGCCTATGACCTCTCTAAACTAAATTTTAATAGGAAGACAATCAAGTTGATTTTTCTTAAAGACAATGCTGGGAATGGCTTCGGGAGCTATATCCGGATCCAGAGCCAAGATTTTAAATTGCCTAAGCAGGAGCCAAGATTTTTTTGAATAATCAGAGGCGAAGCCAGAAAGTGCCCATTATTACCCAGCACAGCTCTCATAACCTCACGGGCCTTATGATAAAATCAAAAACTTTCCAAGATTTTCAAATCATCCCCGGATCTTCCTAGGCAATTTTATAAAAGAAAACCCCCTCAAAAACAAAAATAGAAAAATACCAAAAATAGAATCCGGAAGGGCTTTTTAGATGCGCAACATTCTTTTTTCTCTCCCCAGGGAAACTTGTAAACACAATTTAAGGGGCAATATTCAATCCTTTACTAAATACGTGCTTGCATCCTAATTTGCTTCTAAATAATAATTTTTAGTTCCTTGCATGCTTGAAAAATTAAAAACAAAAATAATTTGTAAAAAAAATCTAGTTTCCAGAAAATTGAATTCCTTCTAAAAAGACAATGGAAGCGAAAAACAATAAATAATTTGTAGAAAATAAAAATTTTCCAAAAAATTAACTTTTCAGAATACTTGTTTTCTTTCCTTGTTTTTTTTCTTTCCTTTTTTTTTAATTTTCCGAAATTTAAATTTGTCATCTTTTAAAAATTCAAGGTATTATTTGCGAATTTTTAGTAAAATAATTCAGATAACTTTCTAAATTTACTAAAAAGTTACCCAAAAATTCCACAATTTTCTCAAAATTTCCTCAAGATTTCCAAAAAATTCTCACAAAATCCTCAAAAATCCCCAAAAACTTCCTCAAAACTTTTCGCCAACCTTAAAAATTTTTCAAAAATTTCAAAAATTATTTCCTCCTTAATTATTCTCTCTATCAGAAAAAAGTCTTCTTTCTCTTCCATGTCAACAAACTACCTTAAAAGGAAAACGAAACGTCTGCTAAAAGAATTTATATATGCAGTAAATCCTCAAAACCCCTTCTCTCCCTCCCTTATCTAAATGCCCTTTAAAAAGATTTAATAATTATTTACTTATAAAAGTTTTAAAAATATTTTTTACTAAAATAATTTGCTAGAAAATTGTGTAAACAAAAAATATGTCAGCTAATTAATCCTCAAATTAGAATATTTTTTCCTGATTACGTGTTTTTACTTTAAAAATAGATTTCTTCCTTTTAAACAATGCCTTCCCTTCTAGATAAGTTAATTCAAACAAAACATCTATTTCAAGACTAACATACGAATCTCTTAATTAAAATCACCCAACCCCCAGAGATGGATCGGAATTCTGATTTACGCCGTTTTTTCCTTCCGATTTCCGAAAAAAATTTCCGATTTCCTATTTCCGAGTTCCGGCTCTTCCTATATCCGACACCTCTGACTGTTCCGACCCACCTCTGCTAACCCCTTAATCTCCTAATTTAATCAAAACTATTTTTAAAAAATTATTCTGTAAAATCCCCTCAAAATTTTCCTTTAAATTACACACTCAATTCCTTCCCTTCTAAATCATTCAATTAAAAATTTTTATCACAAAATCACCTTTCAAGTCTCTTAATTTAGATAAACTCCCTTTAAGAAATATTCGGCAAAATTACCTTAAAATTAGAAAAAAATTTTCTTCCTTAAATTACACACTTAACTTGAATCAAAACACAAAAAACAACACAAAAAAATAATCAGAAAATCATGACAAACCCTAATAAAAGCAAAAACACTCGTCAAATGTTGTTTATTGCTTATAACACAATAAATTATCCAATTTATTATGCCTTTCAAATTTCTTCCCTTTTGCATAAAACAATTACATTTAACGACATAATTAACAATAAAATATTGCCAAACAAAAAACTTCCTAGCAAAAGTGAAAAAAACATTCGGGGAATTCAACAAAAAAGAAAACATTGTTTGCGCTCTGTTTCGCAGGTAATTTAGAATTTAAACGTCCCCAGGACCCTTTCCCCAAATTATAAAAATAAAATCTAAGAGAACCTGACTCTTGTTTTGTTTTTAAGGCTTTAATCTCACCATTGATTGTCCTTCTTCTGCCAGTGATGATTTCTGCTTCGACACAGTCAGCCTCTTCCTTCTTCGGCTCCCCTGGAGCACCTTTGATCTTTTTTAGCGGCCGTCATCATTTCCAGTACCCATGGGGAGAACAAAAACTACAAAGGCATAATATGTAAATTATTCTAAAAAATTAGAAAATAAAACCTGAGAGAACCTGGAAGAAAGAAAACTCATTTTCACTTTTAAAGGAAAACCTTCTTCAAACGCTCAGAACCGGCACTGCCAATGAATGAATGCTTACAGAACACTGCTGTCCAAAGAGCCGCTACTGCACTTCTTGCAGATTTGCCCGCCACAAGCATTTCAGAAGAGATGAAAAGGCAGAGAAGGGCAGAAACGGCATTAACTGAAACGGGTGTTGAATGCCCAAATGATGAAAATATTCGGGAGGGGGTGATGAATGAGGATGATATTAGGGAAATCAAACCGGTAATCCAAACTTTAAAGCAATTAAAAAATTCTTTTCCAGGGGATGCCAATGGAAATGAGATCTATCTGCCCCTTCATTTACGTTGAAAACGTCAACGAAAGGGTCAGTAGCTTTAAAAATAAAAAAATATTTTAAACCTTTTTAGCGTCTGCCTCGTCGAATCACTGAAGTGCGTTGCCTCTGTGAAAGACCACCAAGAAGGGGACGAACTCACCACACTGCAGGCATCCACTGCGAGCCTCTTCATTTCTCCATTCCTGTACTTTTATTTGAGGATGAACAATGTAGTGAACCAAAACGATCTCTTGAACAAGTAACTCTGGGTTGTGTTGCTGTCCATGGAGCTAGTAGTCGAAGCGGGTTTCTTTCAGCCATTGGACAGCCCAGACCGCTTATAGTAACCGAGCAACAATTTTGAAGTTGAGGAAATGTCTAAAATTTTTTAAAAATTCGAGAATTTGATCTCTTTTTTGATCACAAGTACTGCTTGATCTCCGACATTTTTAAGATTAATAATGTTAAAAAAATTTAAAAAATAGTTCCAACCGTTTTCAAGCAGTATTACAATAAAATATTTAAAGGATTAAGCTAATCTCTTTTATTTTTATTTGTTTATTGGAAGAAATGCTTATAAAATAAAGCCGAATAAATGTTAAAATAAATAGAAAAAATTTAAAATTTATTTTTGGCACATCTTTTAACCTTCTAAAGTTTGTTTGGTTCGAAATTCTGTATTCCCCCAGTCGCAGAATTATAGTTTGAACACGCAGAATTTGACCGTTCCTCCACTGTGTTTGTTACCAATCCACTCCTGCGTCGATCCAAAGTGCGTAGGCTAAAAATTTTTGTAAAATTAAACAAAATTAAAAAGCAAACCCAAAAAGATAAGCAACGCCTTCCCTATATTTTGCACTGAAAACGGCATAATAAATCCAGGTAGTTGAACTAAAATATAAGAAAAAGGTTTGTAAAAAAGTTCTAAAAACCTGTTGAGAACCACCAAAAAATTAGCCAAGTCGTTTAAAATAAAAGCTGTTGAAGCCGTGCTTTCATTAACAAAAAGATCGCTTTGCACACATTCCGCCAAATTTAAAAGAAAAGGAAGAACATTACACAAAGCAAATGAAAGGGTGACAAGTAGGAGCATTGCGGTAGTGTTGTGCTCTCTCAATTGCTGGAAAATGAGGGGAAAATAGTTCGTTTGAATTAAAATAAATTTTTGAAGGAATTATGCGGAAAATCAAGGACAAATAAAGAAAGAAGTCCCGCGCCGTAAGAGGAGATCCCGTGCCGTAAGACATGTTGAAAATCCCGTTACGAAATCCCGGGATTGATTTTCCCGACCTCTAAAAAGTAACAAAATTTTTTTAACCTTTTTACATGATCTGGTAAAACTGAACTTGACCTGGACTTAGGAAAAATCCAGGGATAGATCCAGATCCAGGTCTATCTCTAATTCTCCCTTTTCTTAAACCTCTAAGCCGTACCCGATTAAACAAATTTTTTAACCTTGTTAGTAAGCTGTTCACGAATTGAACGCAAATGTAGAATACGGTGTGCTAGCAATCCATTCAAAGAAATTATTGTTCCAAAAGGAAGCAAAAAATGAGAAAGTAGGAAAAGGAGGGAGTAATAGCCGAGCATATACCAAGGATGGTCATTTGGATTGCGCAGATTGCGTTGAAAAGACAGACTTCCATCGGAGGATTCTCTGAAGTTTTAAAGCAAATTTAAATTAAAAACGAATAAAAATAAACATTAAAGTGTATTCCCAAAATCGAACAATATTGTAAGCTATAGAAAAGCCCAAAATGAAGAGCAATGACCGCTTTGCTGTACGAGGTGTGCAAAGAGAGCGAACCTTAAAAATAAAAAAATGATAAAAAATATTTTTAAAAATGAAAAGAAAATACATGAAGAGGTCTACAAATAGCCAGATAACGTTCAGCGGTAATCAAAACAATTGTGTATATACTGCAAGTCTGAAAATAAAAATAGAATTGATGTGACTGGAGTTTGACGCCGGGACTGGTTTTTCAGGCCTGGCAGTCTGAAAACCGGTTATTTTGAAAAATCTTGGGTTTCCAGGGAGTTCATCACGGAAGACCCAAGCCCGGGCCAATTTGAAAAAAAAACTTCCAGTAAATCCTCATGCCAATTTGGGAATATCGAACCCTAATTGTGACCCTAATTTTAAGAAAAATTTTTTAACCTGAAAAATAAGATTGACGGGATAAAGAAATTTGACAACAATAGCTTGAAATTGTTCAGAATAGAAAAGTTCCCTTTAAAATATTTTTTAAATTCAATTTGCATAAATTAATTCAAATAAAATTTACCCGCTTTGTAGGTTGGGCAGGACAAAAACTGGAATAGCAAATAAGAGAAGACCAAAATCTATCAAAGAGAGAGCAGTTAGCAAAATATTAATACTTGAAGTTCGCTAAAAATTAAAATTTAGGTTTAAGAAATAAAAAGAGTTGAAAACCCTGTACGCGGAGTGCAAAAATTTTTTACACAGAGTGAAATTGGCCACCCCTCCCCCCCACCCCCTTATGAATTTGTCTCTTCTGTCTCTGTAACCCATGGTTTTTGATTAGTTCGAAAATGCAGCTAACACTAAGCTAATGGTTTTTTCCAGACTTCTGATTTCAGCAGACTCACATTAGCTCAACTAGCACTCCTATCTTTGACTGACCATAAATAGACGGGGATGGGAGGGGGGTGTTGACAGGAGTGCCTAAATATTAAAATAAAAAAATACTTGAAGAAATACAAGAGCCGATAAAATATTTCCAAAACATCCAAAAATAATTATTGCCAAAGTGCAGGATGCCAATAAATGTCGTTCAAGTTCCATTTAACTAAAAAATGAGGTTCAAAAAATTTTCTAAAATATTTAACTAAAATTAAATCAAAGTTTAAAAGGGAATGGATAAAAGGATTAAATTTATAAGAACCAAAGAAAAGCAAGAAATTAGTAGGGGAAAAAGCAGATGGGACAAAAAATCCCACTCAAAGTGCAACTTTTTTTAGACTGGTTTTTGTCAAAGCAGCGTCAGTGGGGGCACTTGATACACAAAAAATGGCGTGCCAATAAACGAATATATTCAAAAAGAGGAAACTGGAAAAAAATTTCTTCCAAAGGAATTTAAAAAATAACAATGAAGTTAAACCAAAAAATGTGTAGAAAATGTAGAGGATAACTTAAATTGGTAAAAATAGGCCCCCGATTTGAAAATTCTCCCAAACTTTTTTAAAAGAAAAATGACCAGCAAACCTGAACATTAACGAAAGGTAAGTATCCAGTTGACTCCCTACATGTCCACAAAGAGAATGGGCACTTTTTCTTCCTCGTCTTATTCTGTTGAATTCTGCATCCAATTTTATGCGAGAAATTCAATTGAAAATTTAACCCATTGTTGAAGCATCAAATTCCACACGTCGAGTAGAACAAAATATATAAAATGTTGAGAGCATTAAAAACCTCAAAATAAAAATAATTTCGTAGTTTCCTGTAATCTTCACCCTAAAAAAATTAAAAATCTTGAAAAATTAAATCTTTACTGGAAATTTAACTTAAAAATAAATAAAAGACGCAAAATGGTCATTCTGGCAAAATGTTGCCAAATTGATCAATTACAATACCATAAATTTTATTTATGCTTTTCGATTCAAACTGGCGCAATAATTGTCGCACCAAAATGGCCTTGATTTTTAGAAATTTTTTCAATTGATTTTTTCCCTGTTTTTTCCTGTTTGTTGGCCCCGTTTTTCTAAAAATTTTCTTTAAAAATGAAATTGCGTTCATTTAAATTGACTTTAATCAGCAGGAAAAATTTACCAATTGATCTAACGCTTGAATTAATTGTATTTTCTAATTAGAGTTGCCGGCCCGGTTAGGTTCAAAAGATCGAATCGGGCTTTGATTTTTGGCCCGAAAAAAGCTCGTCCGGTCCGGCTTAGAAAATTGAGGCCTGAAGAAGTGACTTGGCCCACGCCTACTCGGGGAAAAAAACGTCGGCCCGATTCGAAAACGGCAGCCCTAATTCTATTTACTTTTTTAGACAGATTATTTAAATTCGACAAGACTTGATTATTTTAAATATGGCTATGTCTGTACCAAAGTCGGGTTATGCCCGTTTTATGAAGGAAGGCGCAATGGTTTTTTAATTTTTTTTGAAATTTTTTAATTTTCTATCATTTAGCATTTCAAAGGAATGGAGGAAGCTGTTTCTCGAAATATTGAAGCCTGCATGGAATTGGCTTTGCAAACACGTTCTTCATATGGACCTAATGGTTTTTTTAAAAATATTTTTAAGGATTTTAGGGGGCTCTAAGGGTTGACGTGATTCTCTTACGGAATTTTTTGCAGACTTTCCTCCTTTTCTCCTTTAGCAGTTCTATTTCCAGGGGTTTTGAAAGAGTTCAAATTTTTCTCAAAATCAATTGATTCAATTACTTTCAAAGAAAACCTAAAGCCCAACTAAATTATCGAGCGAAAGGTCCGCAAAAAAGTCCTCAGGAATTGCACCGTCCGCAAATTTAGTCTGCAATAATTCCCACTCTTTAAAGCCGTCTAAATTTATCTTTTAAGGAATGAATAAAATGGTAATTAACCGTCTGGAGAAATTGTTTGTTACGAATGACGCTGCTTCAATCCTCAACGAGTTAGAGATTCAACACCCTGCTGCTCGTATTATAGTCCTGGCCGCTCAAATGCAAGAAAAACAAATTGGTGATTGCACAAACACGGTTGTTATTTTTGCGGCTTCTTTGTTGGAGCAGGCTTCGCAGTTGCTTTCTATGGTTTGTTGTATTTTGATAAAGATTTTGAGGGGAGGGGATTCATTAGATAGCATTTTAAAATACGGGGCAGTGTTTTATGCACTTTATGAGCAAAATTGATCATCAGCCGGTAATTCAATCGGTGAAATCACCCGGTAATCCAATACATGGTTAGCAAGGCCTTTGTGGTTATCAATAACTGCTAGAAGGTAGTATGTTCGGTTCCTGTCCGCCAGGGTAGTTGGTTCGGTTCCTGTTGTCCATGACTAAAATGGGAGGGGGGGGGGGTCCTGATATTGGGGTTTCTGTCCATTTCTAATTCCTCAATTATTTACAACAGGGAATTAAACCTATCGAAATTGCGTCTGGCTATGAACAAGCGTTGGCTAAAGCTGAAGAAATTCTACCTAAATTGGTTATCGGGAAAGCCGAGGATTTGTATAACGTGGATTTGGTTAAAACCTACTTACTCCCGTCAATTACTTCGAAACAGACTGGAAACCATGATTTTGTTGCTGGATTGGCTGCTGATGCTTGCGGTAAGGTGTTTCTTCAATTTTACAAAAATTTAATTTTTTAGTTAAAATTGCTCCCAAAAACGTGCACAATTTCAACGTTGACAACATTAGAATCTGTAAAATTCTTGGTGCTGGCGTTTCTTCAAGTTTTATTGCAAATGGAATGGTTTTCAAACGAGGAGCTGAGGGAGAGGTTAAGCAGGCTACAAACGCGAAAGTCGCAATCTTTGCTTGTCCTTTTGATTTAACACAGACTGAAACAAAGGTTTGGGAATTTTAAAGAATATTTGCCAAAAATTGGGTAACAAAGGGAAATAGGGAGGTAAATGTGGGTGAATTCTTAAGGGTCTTCTACAACTGCCTATTTTTATTTTTGACATTTTTATAAAGATAATTTGACCTTTTTTCAATTTCAGGGCACTATATTGATGAACACAGCAGATGATTTACTCAAATTCAGCAATACTGAAGAGGCTAGTGTTGAACAAAAAGTAAAGGAGATGGCTGAGGCTGGTGTTTCTGTGGTCGTTGCTGCCGGAAAATTTGGGGACCTTTACATACATTTTTTGAATAAATACAAAATTATGGGTGTCAGGTTAATTTAAAATTTTTTTTTAATTTGAAAATTATTTTTAAAAATAGATTGACGTCAAAATTCGATTTACGCCGTCTTTGCCTCACTTTGGGCGCGCAAGCCCAAGCTGTTATTTGTGCTCCACCAGAGGATTCTTTGGGGAAATGTGACAATGTTTTCATTAAAGAAATTGGAGATACTCAGGTTTTTGTTTAAAATGATTTTTCATAAATCAATCTTGTGTTTTAGACAGTTATTTTTGATAAACAATCAGCAACTTCCAAAGTGGTGACCGTCATTGTAAGAGGCTCTTCTCAATCTATTTTGGATGATGTTGAACGTGCAATTGATGATGGAGTGAATACTTTTAAGGCGTTAACTAAGGACAATCGGGTTTGAAAATTTTTTTTCTTATTCATTTTAAACTACTAATACAGGGTGACCTCGCTATAGGATAACCTTTGGGGCTAAAACCTTATCTTTTAATAAAGGGGTTTTTAAGCACTAGAGATCGCTAATGTAAGACTTCAGCCCCATCTTTTCTATAGCTAACCAAATTTTTAAACGTATCTTAAACTGACAATGAGTTGAATCTTATTCTGTGGTTATCATATGTAGGGAGGTCTGACTGATCTAGAATTGTGTTAATTTCTATTTGATGATAAAAATTCTTTTTTAAGTTGTTGGCCGGTGCTGGTGCAACAGAAATTGAATTGTCTCGTCAAATTCAACTCTTTGGAGAAACTCAATCTGGACTCGAACAATATTCGGTTAGAAAATTTGCTGCAGCGTTGGATGTTTTACCTAAACAATTGGCTGAAAATTGTGGAATGAAAACTACAGAGGCTTTGGCTAATTTGTATGCTGCTCATCAAAATGGTTCAATTAATGAAGGCATTGATGTTTTAAATTCAAAATTGGTTGATGCTAAGGAAGCGAAAATTTATGATTTATTTAATGGAAAATTGTGGGCTTTAAAATTGGCTACAAATGCTGCTTGTAGTATTTTGAAGATTGATCAGGTTTTGTTTTTAAATGTTTAGATTTTTTGAATTTTCTTTTTAATCAAACTTTATAAGTTACCTTTTGGGTGAAAAGAAATATTTAAATTGGGAATATCGCCAAAGTAGCTCCCCCACCAAACGCTACTCTAAATTTTACAAACGTATCTTAAGATAATTTGTATGGTTATTTGATTGAAAATACTTACATATAAGTTGTTCTTCGCTATATGATACCCCCGAGTGGGCCCCTAACCGGGTTTTTTGAGAGGGGGTGTCATTTATAGTTAGTTTTTTGAGCTTTATAATTTTTTAAAAATTTTTTAAAGATAATTATGGCTAAACCATCTGGGGGACCTACTCCGAGAGGACCTAAAGCACAAGATGAGGAAGATGATGATGGTGCTGGAATGGCTTGAAATTAATTTTTGATAGATGAAACAATCATAATGTTGGTCAAGGACATAAAATGTTTGGTTTTTTTTATTTTTGAAAATTTCTTTTAATTAAAAATTGTTTGCCATTTTTGTTATGCATATTTTTTCGGAATTTTTTTTCGAGTAAATTTTGAATCAAAAAATTATTTTGGAACAGAATTTTTAGGTTGGGTTAAGTCACTAAAAGACACGAAAAATTTAAAACCTTATTTATTCTATAAATAACATGGCCAATAAATCTTTTCTTTTTCACCAGGCGTCTCCTAACATAATTTAAAGTTAGCAGATGCAAAAACGATTTTTTAGTGTAATATTTGAGGCAATATAACCACACCCAATTAATTAGTTTAGGAAATGTGTTAAGATAAAATTAGGAGAAAAAACGCGTTAATGAATAATCAAAAATCTCCTTTTAACCTTCTAATAAATTTATCAGAATATTTTTTTGAAAATTTTTTTCACAAATATTTTTTGCGAAATACTTAAGCTTACATTTTCTCTAACAAAATTATTTTGTCTACCAATAATAATTAGGGCTGTGCGAATTTTGGAATTCTCATAATTTTCTATAAGGGATATTCAATTTTCTGACCTTTACATTTTTCTAAATCTACCCTCAATAAAAAGGCTATTGTCGGCATTGACCTTCTATGTATAGAGAAACACTTGACATTAACAATAATTTTTTAGGAGTAAATCCAAAAATCCCTCTCCTTTCCCCAACTATTGTTTGGAGGTATTTGATGAGAGGAATTTTGTGTGTCTAAAATTATTTAGGAGCAAAAAAGGTAGAATTGTGAAGGCATTTCTTCCTTTTTTAAGGGTCCACATTAGGATCCCCCCTCCTTTTTTAAGGGGGAATTGGTTCGGCTTGACCCCTGGTCCACATAGAAATTTTATTTTTTAATTAAAAATTTAATTTATTTTTTCCTTTCAATTCAAAAACATTTTTGGCAATAAATTTGTAAAAAATAATTTATTCATTTTTTCAGTCGGTTCTCTCCTTATTTCAGCCTCTACCATTTTTTCCCTTTTACTTTGTTCTTCCTCAAATTTCTTCCAATTTTTAAGGGTTTCAGATTTAGATAAGCCGAAAAAGGAGGAATTTATAAAGAAAGGACTTAAAAACACTTAAATATATAAACAATCCCTCAACACTCATTCAGACCTTCAAATCGGAAAATTAAAAAAAAAGGAGAGGCGATAGAAAGCAAAAAAAAACAAAGGGAGGGGAGGGGGAAAGAAATCCTCTCAAAAAGGAATTAATGGTCTGAGGAGAAGTGCCTTCACAATAGTACTAAAAAAGAGTGAAGAAAGAGGCTTAAAGCCACATAATAAGGAGGACTTTACACACAAATTAGAGTTAATTATTCAAAATAATTTTAAAAAGGGGAAAATTTTTCGACAAAAAATTGCCAAATTACTTCAAAATTCCTCTCATTCATTCACTTTTTATGCCCTAGAGACTCCCGATTTTAGTGTAAAAGGGCAAGAGTTGTTCTCGAATAAAGGGGGAGAGAGACAGGCGTTCCGGTCGACGTCCTAAGCGAAAACTAAGCAAATCCCTCAGCCATCATTTTTTTATTTTTTGTTGTTATTTGTGGCCTTTTCTTCCTGTTTTTCTTCAATTTTCTTTTATTCGTCCTTTCTTAAGCATCCTTTACCCTCCCAATTTTATTTACTTTTTCAACGTGGATTTTTTATAGTAAAAAATAAAATTGAATTGGCTTTAGACTTGGCAAAAAAGTTGCCAATTTTATTTTTAGAAATCTAAGGGGAAAAAGTTCACTGGGTCCAAGGGTGATTCTCAGAAAATTTTTCTAGGTTCTTACTAAATTTGTAATTCTAAATTTAATTAAATACATATGTATATCCAAGCTAACATGCCCAGTTAATTTAGAAAATTTTTAGAACTAAATTGAATAATTTTTCTGTTCAATGTTTCAAGTTTAGGGTCTATGGGTGATTCTCAGAAAATTCTCTATATTCTTGCCAATTCTATTTTATTTTGAGTTGTTGCTAAATTAGTATTTCTATTTTTTAATTAAATATATCCTCCAACTTAACATTTCCGCCTCTTCAATTTTATGATATCGATGAAATTTTTTTCTTCCAAAAACTTTTTATTGCCCTTAACCTTCTTATTTCTGTCCCCCACTCATCCAGAAAGAGTTTTACCTCTTGAGAAGAAAAATTGCATTAGCGTTATTGGAAGTGGGATATGTAGAGGAGAAAGATAGATTGCATTTTAAGGGTGGGGTAAGTGGTGCTTTTAGGTATAAATATATGGGGGAAATGCTGTCGCCTTATGGTATTTATTAAAAACATTTTTGAGGACAACAACAACATTTTAGGGAATAAGTTTGTAAAGTGTTCAATATTTTATTTATACTTGGTTAAATTCCTTACTAATATAATCAGACTTTCCGGAAAAATATTTTAGCCTGTCTAACTTCCGGAAAAATATTTCCCACAAAAATATCTCAACCTTTCTAACATCCGGAAAATATCTCAGTTCCTCTAACTTACTGAAAAATATCTCTAACTTTCCGGAAAATACTTAAAAACCCTTTCCGGAAATTATCTCTAACCTCTCTAACCTTCCGGAAAATTCTCTCATTCTTTCTAACTTTCTAAAACTTCCGGAAACATGTCTAAACCTCTCTAACTTCCGGAAAATCTCTCCACCTCTTTAGTTTCCGGGAAATATCTCAAACCTTTCTACTTTCCGGAAAATATAAAAATATATATTAATTCCTCCCCTTTTACCAACCTTCCGGAAAGACCTAAAAATTGCATTTTCTTGCTGTTTCTTTTACTCATCTTCTCTTTTTTTCTAATTTTAAAACTCATTTGAATTGCAATAAAATTGGAGCATCTTTATTGCTTATCTTAACATTCTTCCTCTCCCAAAGCTGTCATTGCCCATCCACTAAAAATTTTCATTATGCCGCCAAAAGAGGAAACAGTGAACGACTGCTTTTGGCACTTTGTCCAGTTTGGAACAAATGCCTGAGGCTAAATTTGTGACGTTTTAGTTCAGAGGAGTAAGGAGTGGTTTCTGGTGTTTAAAAATTAATTGTTTCCAAATAGGGTAGCACCCCGTCCCCCGAAACCCGACGAATTTTTAAGTAAAAACCCAGACTCCCGAAACCCCGACCCAGTCTTTTTTTTGGTAAAAACCCCGACACGAACCCCGAAGGCTCCACCCTGGCAAACCCCTAAACCCAACACTCCTGCCCACGAAGGCCCAGGGTGCTACCCTATTTCTAAACCTGAAAATTTTTTTTTAACTTAAAAATCAGTTTGGCCTGACTTTTATTCTTTTTACTCTTTTATCGAATATTTTCTATTCTTTATAAAGTAATTCTAAATAAAATTTATGTTAATGAGCACAATTTATATTTATTTTTATTTGTTAGATTTGTAGTATTTTTCGCGCGCGGCACTCTCTCTTAGTTGGCTTCCGACTTACTTGGCTATTTAAAATTGAGAGGGTGTTTTAGTAAATAAATGAAGAGTTAAAAATGCGTTTCTAATCTTCCCATAAAGCTTTGAATAATTATTTTCTATTTTTATTTTTCTAAAGGCTTCTTCAAAAAATTTTTTCTTCTTCAAGAAATTTTTTTTCGAATTTCAATTAATTTTTTAAACAAATAAATTTCCATTTTTACCCCAAAATTTATTTTCTTATAAAAATCTGAAATTCTCCCTGCACATTAAAAATTCCCTAAAGGCTTGTAGTTTCCTCTAGAGAGCTTTTCCGGATATTTTAAATAAATTATTTATTTATTTCGGTGAACACTTTTATTTAATCTAATTGCGCGAGAAAGAAAACAAGCTTTATAAAAAGCATTGGCAAATGAAGAAAGGCTTAAAATATATGAGAACATAACAACACAAAAATTAATAAAATCCTAAAATAGCTGTGGAGAAATTTTTTTAACCTTCAGTAAATATTCTCGAGGAAGTCTGGCCTATTTCCAATAATTAATATTTATTGAGTAGCCCTTCAATTTTTAAGGCCTAAAAAAGCTTCTTCCTTTTCTTCTCACGTTTCAAAAAAATTTTTTTCTTTTTCCTCTATATTTTATTTAAATTCTCCCACGTTTAAAAAATACCAGAGCTCTTCATTCACTTCCTTTTTTGAATTTTTAGAGTAAAATAATGGGTGGCCAGTTAACTCTGACCACAAATTGGACGAAAAATTATTTTTATTTTTTGTTTGTGGTCAAATTTCTCTCGCTATTAATTTTTAGAAAAATTAAATTTTGTTACAAAAATTATTAAAAATCCTCAAATTATAATCCGTTTTTTTAAAAAAATATTTAATTACTACCTAGAATTACCTCAAAAAGGATTGGCGCAAAAATGCGCGATAAAATCTGTCAGAGGGGTAAATACACGCGTGTCAATATTAAATATACACAAATGGGATTTTTTACTTTTTTACTAATTCCTTTTATTTTTACATATTTTCTTTTTGAGATTAAAATTAAATCTGCTTAATATATAAAATTCTGTTTTTATATTTAGTGTTCCAATTAATTTATTCTCCCACTTTATTTCTCCTCCAAACATCTCTTACAACTTTCTTTGCTTCCAATTTGTGTTGTTTCCAACTTATGTTTTGAAGCATAAGTTGGAATAATAAAGTTTTTCAACTTTATTATTTTCCCTCCAACATGCCTCTCCCAACATTCCAACTTGTTTCTGTTTCTGTCATGTTTTCGTTTGTTTTAATATTTTCTCTAATTTGTCCAAACATGTTTGGAAGCAACCTTCTCATGTTTTTATAATTTTCTTTATCATGTTTTCCCTCCAAAACTTTCTTACAATATCATTTTATTTTCTCTCCAAAACTTTTTAAAAATATCCGGATGCAATCTGATCTTCCCTTCCTTTTTATCTTTCTTTTGATCAACTTTTTTATGTTTGTCGGCCTTTTACTTCAAAATAATTTTTGAAGAAAAACTGTCAATTCTTCTTTTAATTGACAAGCGGAAGATCATTCAAATAATTTTGTTTCTTTACAAAAATTGTTGCAAATGTTGTAAATGAGGAAGACAACGATTTTATGCTTGAATAATCAGAAATTTCAGAGAGAAAATCAGGATTTAAATAAAATCAGAATTTTAAGAATCAGAATTTTAGAGAGACAACCAGAACTTTTAGAAAATCAGAATTTTAGGAATCAGAATTTAGAGGAAATCAGAATCCTCAGAATCAGAATTTTTTTTTAAAAATCAGAAGTTTCAGAGAGAAACAGAATTTTAATAAAATCAAAATTCTAAGAACCAGAATTTTTAGAGAAAATCAGAATTTTAAGAATCAGAATTTTAAGAATCAGAATTTTAAGAATCAGAATTTTAGAGAAATCAGAACCCTCAGAACCAGAATTTAAAAACCAATTTTAAGAACCAGAATGTTTCTTTTGAAAATCAGAATTAAATCAGAAGAAAATCAGAATTTTAGAGAAAATAATTTATTTTTGCTAATTAAACAAATGTTCTGTTCCAACAAAAACAACCAAAATAAAACAACAAAAAATACTCTTAAAAGAGAATGGACAAAAGGATAAACTTAATTTCAATTTATTTAATGTCCAAAAAAATATTTTTATTATTATTTTTACTACTAATTTTGTTTATTGTTGTCAATTCTTTTGACTCGCTTCAAATTCCTCAAATACAAAGGCATAGTGAAATGCTAGTTCCTTTAAATTCAACGACCGCTTTGCTTTGTGAGCTTGTTTTTAACCAGGGAAGGCCTAATGAGGAGGCTAGATGGATTTTTGAAGGGAAGGAAGTGGCCAGAGTGAATGGGTAATTTTTTGAAAATTATTAAGGTTGTTCTCTGTGGAGGGGGAGGCCTCAGGGAAAATTTTGGAGGAATTCGAATACTCTGACCTTCAGGGACTGGGAACAACCCCCTACACAAGATAACACTTTAGTTGGACCTCTCATTATAAAGCTTATCCCCAACAACGGTTACCTCAGTTTAAGGTACTTTTGGTTGAAATTTGAATGACCTCTGAGTCGGGGAAGCTGCCTAAGCTTATTTAAGATAAACACCACTATAAATAAGAATCTTTTAAGCCCCAAGGGTGTACGCAAAAAACGAAGTCCGACTGTCCTAAATTAATTTTTAACAATTTTTAAAAAATAGTCAGAGCAATGCTTTCCTCAATAACAACTCTTCCAATGCTTCATCAAAAGCAGATCCAATCCCAGAAATTGGCTTCCTAATAATTCAGAGCACTCTCAGAGAACATGAAGGAGATTATTGGTGTGAAAGATTAAGCGATGGACTGTTAGGGGAAAGAACTCGTCTCAGAGTAGCCTTCCTCAAACAGTTTGCCCCTGGAAGTGGGCCAGTAATTGTAGATGGAGGATCATCTAGAGGTGAAGGACAACTTGTAGTATTGGACTGTCCTCAAACTTTTGGAGTTCCCCCGCCAATAATTAATTGGAAATTGGTGGGTTTTTAATTTTCTTTGGAAATTTCAAAAAAATTTTTTATCTTTCAAAGAATGGAGAGCGTTTAATAGACTTTCTCTCATTAAATATGGAAATTGCTCCAAACGGCTCACTTCTTCTCCACAACTTTTCTTCTTTACAAAGCGGCTTTTACACTTGCGAGGCTGTCAATTTTGTTGCCAAGACTCTTTCTGAACCCCTTTTTGTTGGACCGCCGCAAAGACGACTTTTGGAATCTCAAATTGCCAATAATAATTTTGTTAATTGCCTTAGTGTTTATGTACGCAGTGGTGTGCTTTGGTTTTTAGTTGGGTGTTTGGCTACTAGGTACTAATTTAAATCTGTAAAAAACTTCAGTAATTAACAAAATTCTGTAAAAAAACTTCAGTATTAATTCAATTTAAGACTGGGTGGGGAAAGCTGCCCGCATGATACCCCCTATTTAATGTACCCTCCATTATAAGGTACACGGGTTTATCAAATCCGAGGGGATATCTTACAACCTCATTATAAAAGACCACCATTACTCAAGCTAGGAAGAGCTACACATATGGTACCTTCTATTTAACATACACCCCATTATAAGGTACGATTCTTTCTATCCTACGGAGATTTTTTTCAATTTTCAGTTGTATGGTTCTGGCCTATATCTTGGGGGCATTGTTCCTCTACCGCCTTTACTCTTCCAACGAACAAAACCACAGATTAAGAAGATGGCCATGTTGCCCGTTTCTAAGCACCTCTGGCTTCAGAAAGGTTATAGCGCCGATGGATACTGAAAGGATTTTTGTTCCCCCTCCACCTTGTTATGAGGAATCTGTTTAAATCGTTTTTTTTTATTTTTCTCCTTAGAGCTTTTTTTAACATAAATTTTTGTTTTTAATTAATTTTTATCTAAAAAATTTTTTTTATAAAAAAATTTTACAAAATTCATTTAATTTCTTATCTATTATTTTTGCTAATAAGAGGACTATTTTCTTCACATTCCAATAAATATTGATAATTCCTTTTGTAAGACCGGCAAGAAAGAAATACAGAAAGTAGGGAAGCCATTAATAATACAACAAGTAAAAGTAGAGCAGCTAGTTGAGAAAAAATCAGAATTACTAATTTTAAAAATCAGAATTTATTTTAAATCAGAATTTTAAAGAAATCAGAATTTTCAGAAAAAACAGAACAGAATTTTTAAACTGAATTTTTAAAAATCAGAATTTCAGAAAAATCAGAATTTTTAAGAAATCAGAATAAATCAGAATTTTAGAGAGAATCAGAATTTTTTAAGGAAATCAGAACTTTTTGAGAATCAGAACAAAATTTCAGAAAAAATCAGAACAGAATTAGAAAAAAATCAGAATTAAATAAAATTTACCCGCAACAGGCCCATACGTTCCACATTGATAATCCAAAAGTTCTGACCCTAAACATTGTCGCATCCACTGGGCACTGGTCACGCGTTGTTTAAGACTGCGAAATTTTGCAAGAGGACAAGGATTTTGACAATTCTCAATTTTTAACGTTTCTGTTGTTGCATTCAATCCATTACGAAATTTTATCTTTAAAAATTTTTTTTGAAATTTTTTTTTTTAATTTTTTAAAAATTTCGCAAACCTCCACAAAATATTCTTCCCCATCAAAACTTTTATTGCTGTGTAATTCAAAAACCAAAAAGCTGGCATAATCCGAAAGGATTGAGTTGATGTGTTCAATGCCTAGAAAGCGCCCGAGCGTTAAAATGTTTGTGTCGTGCTGAAAAAAGAAAATTAAAATTTTTTTAATTTTAATCGTCAGGGCTCATTATAAGGGATTCTCAATATTAGTGATTATAAGAGAACCACGATTTAGGATATGCTTTTTGAAAAATTGGTTGGCTGCTGACTGGAAGAGTTTCCCAATCGACCCACCCAACATTTACAAAAAATATAAACCTAAAAACCTTTTAAAGAAAAAAAGAAACCGGGAGGATTAAACCTAAAAACCTTTTAAAGAAAAAAAGAAACCGGGAGGATTAAACCTAAAAACCTTTTAAAGATAAATTTTAAATACATAAATAAAAAAAATGATTCCGACATGGGAGGTGGATTTCTGTAAATTTGGTTAAGTGGGAAAACCTTGTGTTTGTGGAGGGAGAAGTCGGGGGTTCGAACATCGGTTTGAGATAAGATTTTTAAAAAGTTGGTTTGCTAATGGCTGGAGGAGTTTATAACGAGGCCAGGCTAGCATAAATAAAAATCAGAATTTTTCAAAACCAGAATTTTCAAAACCAGAAATTAAAAAAATTGTCAACTAACCGCTGAGTACAAGACCGATTTTTGATGATTCCTTTTCCCAACAGCATCATCCATCCTTCCCAAAATTTGATCAAAATGCCAACCTCCCATACTTTCCAAAAATAAATCGATTAGGCCAATATGAAGAGATAAATGTTTTTTCCTTCTTTCCTCCAAATATTTTGAAGAGTTGGCCCAAGCAGGCAAAGGAAGAATTTGAGGCAGTTTTGACTAAAAATCAAAAAGAATTTTTTGGGGTTAACAACGAAGGTTGAATCTTAAAGATTAACGGTCAATTGACCCTGAAGACCTACAAGTTTTGAAAAGGGAATATCGAATCATTTAGAGGGATTAAGAGGATATTTTTTATAGAGCGGTATTGTGTAACTCTGGGCGTCGTGTAAAATTTCTATCCCCCCAATCACCCTAAGTTCATCGATATCCCTTTAAAAAGTTGAAGGTCCTTTCAAATGTTGAAAGTCTTCAGGGTCAATAGGTCTTCAGGAGTTGACTCTTTTTTTAAGTAAAAAATAAAAACCCTTGTAACGATGCTATCCAACACTCGTTGAAGTATAAAAATTCCATCAATCTTCATTTGCGTGTCTTTCTCCATTCTTTCAATTTCTTCTTTAAATAACCCCTCCAGCCTCTTATATCCTTCCCCTTCTTTTAAATTCCTCTCTCCTTCAGGGCAATGGTCAAACATCCCAAAAGATTGATGGTCCAAAATTTCAACAGTTTCGATCGGTATTGGCTGCCACAAAAGCTGGTTGTCCCAAATTTGTTCGTTTAAAGGAGGGAATAGGCCGGCAAGTAATAACTGGGCGCTTGTCAATGTTCGGTTGTCACGGCCACTTTTGATGTTTATCTAAAAAAATTTTTTTGGAAATTGTTAAGTTAGAAGCTTATGTTAGCCCCGAGTAGGCATCCGGCGTCCTAGCAGTTATTTCTAACATAAGCGCTTTCGGTCATCACGAACAGGTGCTTTACAAGGATGGGACGGGTTGAACAAAAAGTTATGTCGGGTTTTCAAAATTTTCTTCGGATCGTCTAAAAAAGGTCGGGCTTCGGATAACCCGTCCGTCCCATCTCTGTTGCTTTACCAACTTCCTATCAGGACATAACTTTTTTTGATAGATCTTAAATCCCTGTCTAATTAAATGCTAACCAGTTGGACTTTCTCCCCCTTACAATCGGAACTCTCTTAATTTTTAAAATCAAACCTCTCTAGGCCGGTACATTTCACCCAAAAAATCTCCATAAAATGTTCTCAAAAGCTTTCCAAGTTGATATTCCTGCCTCATCCCTTCAATTGTTAATTCACCTCTCTCCAATTTTTGAACAATTCTGGGAGGTTTTCCTTCGCTTGGAAAAGTTAAAAAACTTGTGGGTAGACGCTGGCCATGTCGAAAAATCTGTTGGAAAATTTTATAAAATTAAATAAATTTATTTTTTAATTAACCAATTGGATATGTTTCAAAATACAATTACAAAATGAAAGTTGGATTAGGATGATTATAAGGGGGTGAAAAAGAAAAAATAAAAATTTCATTAAAAAAATTTTTTGGTTAAAATTATGGAGAAATTATGTAAAAAGCAAAGACAACCCAAAAAAGATAAGAAAAGGCAAAAAAGATAAGAATATAAAGATCGATAAAGTATACGTACTTCACCCATTTTGCAAAGAAAAAATCTACTGCTCAAGTGGAAGGTTAGAAAATTTCTTCAATCAATAGGTGTTTGAGGTCTGACATAAAAAATAAACACCCTGTCCACCTGCCTTAAAAATTCAAAATAAATCCGACCCTATCTTATGATTTTTAATGTTAAAAATTAACCCGCCGTCTAAAAACTGGAAGAGAATGTCTAAGAAACCCCCAACAATACACCTCAAAAAATTTCCTTTTTAAAATTAATTTTTTTTTAAAAATCAAAACCTCATCAGCAGAATTAACAATTCTCCAACATCCATTTTCTTTTTTTGAACTATTCCATTTTTCACTTCATTCTCGAATCTTTCTCCCAACATTTTCATCACCTTCTTGTGGAGATCTAGACGGACTTGAGCCTCTGTTCCTTCTTTTTCCACCTTCTTTAAAACGTTGTTGCACGTTTCTTTCCCTGTATGAATCTCGAAAATTTTTTAGAAATTGGCACTTCTAAAAAAATCATTTTAATAACAAAATTTAAAATAAAAACAATTAAGAAATTATACAGAAATTACAACTTTTTTTAAAAAGAAAGGAAAAATTAAAAATATGTTTATCAAAAAAAGTTTTCAAATCTTTTAATAAAATAAACGAAAAAAAAACAAATTACCTAACAAGTCTATAAATTAATTAATAATCTCTCAATTACAACTTCAACATCATCCCGGCCTTCATATTCTTCAATGGATATAAAAAATGTAATTCTTGGATCGTGTTTATTGAAAAGTTTAAATTTTGTTATTTTACCATAGGTGTCAATAAAAATGTTATAATCTTCTGCTTCTTCTACTCTTTTACTTGAAATTCGAGGTCCACGCATATAATCAAATTTAATTTTCTTCACCATTTTAGAAAAATCTTGTGATGCTTCTAATATTTGCTAAAATCGAATCGATTAAATTTTTTAAAATAAAATTCAAAGTTTTTAAAATTTCTCATAGTCATTGTTTCCCTTGACCAATTTTAATGTCATTTTATTTTGAATAAAGAAAGGATCAGTATAGTGTGGTTGGCCTAGTTGTGGTTGCAAATAAATATATTTTGAGCCTTAACAATTTTTATTAAAAACAGAATAAAATTTTTCCCGGATCCATAATCGATATGCCCCTAATTTATTTTAATAATAATTTACAAACCTCCATAATAAAATTGTAAAATTTAGAATCAATAAATGAACAAATAATCGTGGAAAATTTGCTTTCTCCTCCATTCACCACAATTTTGAATAAAACGTCCAAATTTTTTTCCAAATCATATACTATTCCACATCCAATATCGAATCTAAATTCATTAGAAATCAGATGATTCAAAACAAAGTCGAAAACATGATTCCCGTAAAGAATTAGATCGACTTGTTGTGAATGTATTTGTAAAGGCATATTTGTTTTATCTTCATCAAACAATAATTTGATCATTTGTGGATTAATTACAGTAAAATCAATCTCAAAAATTGTGAAAACACAGTTAAAAAGTAGTTGGAATAAAGAACGAGCAATTTTCATATCCTCTATACTTTTTGGAATCCATGGCAATTCCGAATAGTATAAATCTAAATAAAATTTTGATAATTAAAAAATAATTTTAAGTTAATGATTGAAGGTCCAAAGAATAAAAGTGAACATTTTCTTTTAGTTAAACTTGAAATTTTTTTATAAGAGCCCTAAAACTCCCCAATTTATACGACACCTCTAAAATGCATGCTAACAATAAATTATCAGTTTCTGAAAATATTTTTAAAACGGACTAATTGACCGAGAATAGTCGAGTTTTTTATTAATTATTTTTGATTCTTTCCATTAAATTTTTGCCATATTTTGTGATTTTTCGTCAATATTTTTGCTAGCCTTATTTATAACTATAACTCCCTGAATACCTAACCCAAACTTCTGAAATTTATTTAAAAAAACACAATGCTAAAAATTTATATTAAAGGCTTACTATTATCTTGTCTAAATTCACAAACAACGGTTTCCATGTCTGTAAATTCAGTCAATGTTAAAAACATTGGAATTGACTCTTCTATTCCGCGTTTCCACTAAGATTTGAGATTATTTTAAAAAACGTCAATTTCTTAAAACCTTTTCCTCAAGTTGCTTGCTCAATTGGAAATCATTAGGTTCTAGTTCGACTAATTCATGTCCATCAAATATAAAGCAACTATCAGGCACCTAAAAATAATCACATTATTAAAACAATTTATAAACAAATACAAAATAAAGGTATTCGAACTTCTTCCTCGCCAATTCTTTCCCATATTTGGCAATAAAATTTTTGAAATAAAAATTCGTTTGTTGAACAGCCAATAATTGAACAAAGTTGAGAAATTTGAATATATCAAGTAGAATTTCTGGTTGAAGGTTTACTTTGGGCTTTTTAGTTTTAATGTCAGCAGGCACTTTGTCTTCTCGAATTGGAACCAAACGATACCATTGACCTTCCTAAAAGATTTATTTTTTGTCTTTTGATTTAAAATTAAATTAAAACCTCTTTAAAATACTTGGCACCCTCGTATTCAATAATTTTTCGATCCTCGCTCATTATTGTAAAATAATTTAATTAAAGTAAATTGAAATTTTAGTCTAAAAATTAGTAATGGAAGTATTTGGGGTATTGAAAGTATATTAATTCGATTCAATGAAAGTATATTAATTCGATTCAATGAAAGTATATTAATTCGATTCAACATTTCTAGTAACTACTTTTAATGTACTTTCATATGAGCTATCGATTGGCTATATACGTTAAGATTTTTTAAAAAAATTTTGTTTTACCCCAATATTTTTGAAAATAAATATAATTAATTTTGGGGAATTTTTATTCCAAGGATTATAACTGAAAAGTATATTAATTCGATTCAATGAAAGTATATTAATTCGATTCAACATTTTTAGGGATAGCTTTTAAATTCAGGGCTCCGATTCGTACTTTTTTAAAAGTATTGTACTTTTTTATCACCCTTCGTACTTCCGAAATTGAATTTGTACTTTTTTGAAAGTATGTACTTTTTTATCAACATTTTTGAAAAAACGAAGAAATCTGGCTTAAGGACCTCCAAAATTCTCAAAATTTTCGCCTGCGGCGCAAAAAATGGAAGAAATCTGGCTTAAGGACCTCCAAAATTCTCAAATTTTCGCCTGCGGCGCAAAAAATGAAAGAAATCTGGCTTCTTAGGCTCCAAATTTCAAAAAATTTTCGCCTGCGGCGCTTCTCAATGGCAAACATTCAATGGACGAAAGAAACTCGCTTGAGGTTAAGACTGTCAGAGCTTTGCTTCATGCGGCAGCAAATTTTGACATGTCATGCAATGAAATGCACAAAATGCTCAGTTGAAACAAGAAATTATTAGAAAAGATCAATTTAGGAGAGAAATATAAAAGATTTGATCACAAATATATATTTTCAAATTTAATTTTGAGTGTACTTTTTATTTGCAAATTTTCTCCCTATGTACTTTTTTTACAAGATTTTTATACTTTTGAGTGGCATTTTGTCGATCGGAGCCCTGCTTTTAAAGCTGTATCTCCAAATTTTTCCTCTTTTTCTCATTTTTAATTTTAATTTCAAATCTATAAATAAATAAAGAATTCCAATAAAATTGCGCGAGATAAATAAAATAAAAAGAAAAAAAGGAAATTAAATAGCAAGGTCAAAAAGTCTTTTAAAATGTTTCTAGAAAGGATAAGTTAAATTAATAATAAACCAAAAAAGATGAGATCAGCGCCGTTACGAGAAAATTTATTTTTACGAAAAAGGAAGTCTTCCAGTCAACCCTAAAGTTAATTCTTACTTTTTCCAAAACTATATTTTTAATTAGTCAATAGCCTCCTTTTATTATTTAAAAAATTAAATTTTAATTCAAAAAAAAATTTTTGCCCCTATATTTGTAAGTATTTAAAGGGCACAGCCCATAATCCTCAAGATTTCCGAATCTTATCAAATCTAGTATTTTTCGATTCCTCTCATCGATCTAAAGATTTTCGTACCAAAATTGATAAGGGTTAGAAATTTTCCAGTAAGTTATAGCTTTGCGCCGTTATGGGCGCGCACCCACGTGGGCGTCCATGATCCCCTCGCTACGACATAAAAAATGATGTATTTATTGTGTACCTAAAATTAATTTTATTAATTTTTTATTTTAAATTTTTCCCTTAATTTATTTTAAATAGTTACTCGCCTTCTTTTTAGTATTTAAAAAATTAAATTTAAATTAAAAAAATTTTTTTATGCCCTTATATTCATTTTTAAAGGGTCACTTTCTTCCTTCTACCAGCCTTCTACGGTCAGTCCCCTCCTCCTTATTTTTTTATTTTTCCAAAAATTGGTTTTATACTCTCAATATTTATAAAAATAAATCCTCTGGACAGAGGCTTTCTTTCCTTTTTTATTTTTCTTAATTAAACCGCCACTCTCTCCGACACTTTTGGAGTATTATGTATGTGACAGCCGGAATGCCACAAACTAAAAAAAGGTTTGGAAAGTAAACTATAAGAAAATATTTTTATATATGGGAATTTGGATTAATTTTTGGAAGTAAACAAAAATAAAAATAAAACGAGAAAAAAAATTTTTTTGAGCCTCTGACATTTGAGCTATTTACTCCTACACTAAAATATTTATTTTTTTTTCGCTTAATTTTCCCCCAAAATTTTTTTAAGATTTTAATTTGACATTCATTTAGCTAGTAAATTTATTTACTTAAAAAATTTATTTTTAAAAAATGTTATTCAATTCGGCTGTAGTGTAGTTCACCGGAGGTAAAAGTTCGGGACGAGACATATGTCATTCGATTCGTCTCGGCGAGCTGAGTCGAACGGTACCACTCCCAATTTCAGGAAATGATTCTGGACCGAGTTATAGGTCCCGAAAAATCGAAAAACCAAAGGGGGGACCAAGCACTTTTTTGGGGTGAAAAATTCGAAAAGGCAAATTATACCTCATTCGAAAGAGCTCCTCGAGCTGAGTCGAATGACACCAAAATCAACAAAATCCGACTTGATTTGACAAAGTTATGACCGTTTGTTTTAGCTCCTTACCTATAGCATCTGTGGATTTTTGCTGCTACGGAGGCCCCAAATACGTCCAGAGCAAGGAAAATGGGAATAGGATCATGTTACGAGCCCAAACCCAGCGCCCGTAGACTCCCCGCGAGGCGCGTGCCGCAAAACCCCGCGCGAAGCGCGGGGTTTTGCACAAGCGCCTCGCCGACGCTCCATAGGTTTAGGTTTTTTGTGTTATAACTTTGTTTAATCTTGTTCAATCACGGTGATTTTGGTATCATTCGACTCAGCTCATCGAGCTCTTTCGAATGAGTTATTGTTTGTATAGGAAATTTTTTATTCCAAAAATCGCCCCTTTGGATCTTCGGTTTTTAGGGGTCTATATCTCAGTCCAATCAAGTCTGATTTTGTTGATTTTGGTGTCATTCGACTCAGCTCGAGGAGCTCTTTCGAATGAGGTATAATTTGCCTTTTCGAATTTTTCACCCCAAAAAAGTGCTTGGTCCCCCCTTTGGTTTTTCGATTTTTCGGGACCTATAACTCGGTCCAGAATCATTTCCTGAAATTGGGAGTGGTACCGTTCGACTCAGCTCGCCGAGACGAATCGAATGACATATGTCTCGTCCCGAACTTTTACCTCCGGTGAACTACACTATATCCTTCAATTCACGAGTTATTATCCTGGAATGAGTGTTTTTTATTTCCACTCTGTGTTTTTTGACCATATCTTTTTTTCCAAATTTTTTTCAAATTTTAACTTAACTTTCATTAGGTAGTAAATTTAATTCTGAATCTAATGAAAAAAATTATTTTTTAAAATTTGGCTCGGTTCCTGGGTTCTTAAGCTCGAAATGAATCGTCCATCTCAACCATAAACTTGTCTCACTTGGAATTATTTTTAAATTTTTTTGACTTCCTCTTAAATTCAACTTTTAAAAATGCCTAAAAAATGCCAAAAAAATTTCCCGTAGAGTAATTAACCAAAAAAGTGTTGAAAAATATTTTTGAGTGTTTGTGGCATTCCCTGAAAAAATTGGTCAGTGGAGAATAAAAATTTTTATTTTTTCCTTTTTTTATTTAATCCCCCCTCTTTCTGTTGCTGCCCAAGTATTATTTAACTTTTCCTCCCTCATATTTTTATTTTTTTAAACCATAAAGTCGCGAGGGATTTGTTTTTATTTTTTCCTATAATTTTTGGCGTTGCGCCGAAATGACCCCTTAAATTATGGGGGAGCGGAGCAGTTCAACTGAGTCCGCACGATTGAGTCCCCACGATTGAGTCCGCACGATTGAGTCCCCACGATTGAGTCCCGGCACAATTGAGTCCCCACGATTGAGTCCGCACGATTGAGTCCCCCTTGTATATACCTCAATTGAGTCCCCGTGGATTTAATAAGTTTAAAATTTCCATATCCGACATGCGGGATTATTCCAAAATTTCTATTTTTTAAAGTATAAATGCCGGACAGACCACCTGTGCACCCCTGCTGCACCCCACATACCCTCCGTAGCAGCACAAAACAGTTTTCCAGCGCAGTTTCAGTTGGTCATAACTTTGTTCAGAATCATTGAATCAAGCTGATTTTGATGTCATTCGACTCAGCTCGTCGAGCCCTTTCGAATGAGGTATAATTTAATATTCGAATTTTTTGTCCCCAAAAATCCCCCGTGGATTTGACCATTTCGAGTCCCATATCTCGGCGAGAACCATGTTGATTTTTGTGTCATTCGACTCAGCTCATTCGAATGAGCTGTCATTCAAAAAATCTCTCGATATCCCTCCTAATCCCCAAATCCACAATATCCACCCATATCCCCCTTAATCGCTTAAATCTACTTATATCTCTTAATATTCACCGATATCCAACTTGATCCCTCGATGTCACATACAGGTCCCCTGATGTTCACTTTAATCCCCCCAAATCCCCAGATATCCCTCTTAATCCTTTTTAATATAATTAAATCCACGGGGACTCAATTGAGGTATATACAAGGGGGACTCAATCGTGCGGACTCAATCGTGGGGACTCAATTGTGCCGGGACTCAATCGTGGGGACTCAATCGTGCGGACTCAATCGTGGGGACTCAATCGTGCGGACTCAATTGAGGTGTACCGTGGGGGAGAATTTATCGGAACGTCCCACTTCAGTCCCTGGCCGTTTCAGTCCCGAGCTTGTAACTCGGGAAGTTGGAAATAATTTATTAAACTTTTAGTATCATTGGATAGAGGATTAAATTCTCTACAAAATGATACCAAAGTTAAAATAATCTTGTCAACTGATAATGAAGTTATTATCAAAAACCGCCATTTTTAAAAAAAGTCATTTTTTTGCATGTTTTTTGATCATAACTTTGGTACCTTTCGATCAAATTTTTTGATCAATAGCTTATTTTGTAGCTTAATTAATCCTCTATCCAACGATACCAAGAGTTCCAAAAATTACTCGAAACTTTTCGAGTTATAGAGCTCGGGACTGAAACGTCCCGGGACTGAAGTGTCCCCTACCGGAATTTATTTTCTCTTCTGTCGGAAATGGCCATTTCGGCGCAGAAAATAAAAGGCGGATATTTTTCTTAGCCTTTCTGCCCTTTAGACTTTTACTTTTTTCCCCTCAAAAAATTTTTTTTCTGCTGACCACTTTTGAGAAGAAAAATAAAGAAGTGTTTCCCCTTTATATGGCCTAAAACCAAAAAATTTTTTATCGATTCAATTAGGCAGCAAACAAAACAACAACAATTCCCCTTATAAGGGGAAAGAAATCTTTCTTTGGCATTTTTATTTTTAGTGGCCGCATTTTTGGGGTATTTTTGTGTGTTTTTAATTATGCAACCCTTCTCCCCTTTCAGTCCTTTGTAAAGCGAGAAAGGTCATTTTTGGCAAAATGTTTTTATTTTTACATATTTCTTACGCCATAAAATTCGCCCCAAGGCGCTATTAACTGACGTGGAATTTTCCAATTAATTTTTTTGTATTTTTCGGCCTTCCCTCATCCTTTTCAAGTTATTTCCTCAATTTCGGATGTATTTCCACCAACATTTTTGTCAAAAATATTTTAATTTAAATATTACTGTGTATTACTCATTTTTTATTCTGCGCCGAAATGACCCCCAAAATTAAGGGGCGAAAGGCCATTTCGGCGCAGACATTAACTAAATTAATTAAATTTTCTTTTCCAGATTTTAATTAATGACAACAACAGAAGGGGAATTAATTAATTATAATGGAATTGATAGCGGTGTAGGGGGAAGTGGAGACTCTTCAGGCGATCAAAAAACTTCCCCGACAACCAAATCTATTTCAGAAATTAATCAAAATAATTTAAATAATTGGGCGTTTTCAACATCCGCAGCTTCCCCTTCCTCTTCTTTCTCTTCCCCTTCCACCGGAATGCTTGCCAATGTTATGGGATATGCCCGCTCTCGACTCTTTAAAAATGCCAACGATGGATTACTAATGCCTGGGGAAAAGGCGAGTTTTTAGTTAAAAAATGTGTTGGTCATTTTTGGCGTTGCGCCGAAATGGCCCCCTAAAAATGTTAAAAATGTGGGGGCGAATTTATTTTCTCTTCTGCCTACAGTGGCCATTTCGGCGCAGACAAATAAAAAGCGGACATTTTTCTTTTAAAAAAAGTTTTCCCACTCTTGAGGAAGTTTTAAAAGTTTATAGAGCCAAGAAGTGTTTTTGGCACTTTGTGTGGTCAATAACTAATAGTTATAGGGTATATTGACTTTATTCTCTTACAATTTTAACTACAACTTTTGTTTATTTTATCTATTTTAAAATCATTTAGTTAATGTAAACAAGCTAAAATCAATGTTTGTGCTTGCATAAATAGCTTTACCCCACATTTTTTTCTTTTGTAGGGAGAGCAAAAGTTTTATTTTTAATTTTTAACCGTCAACTAGCTTCATTTTTTGTTGAAAAAAAATTTTTTAATTAAAAACCCGTTATTATATGCTCTCTTCAGGCTAGAAAAATCGTACCTTATAATAAGGTGTACACTATAAGGAGGTGTTCCTTAATAAGGAAGTTCTAGTTTGGGTGTATCTAAACTAGAGGGAAGATTCGTGGCGCGAACTTTGCGGACCCGAATTTTGCGGACCCGAACTTTGCGGACCCGAAATTTGCGGAACGAAAGTTGCGGACCCGAAGTATGCGGACACGAAGTTTGCGGACCTTATCTTTGCGGAACCAATATTTTAGGACCGACACTTGAGTAAAAAGGAAAAATTAAAAATCTTATTTTTCGATGATCCCGGCAGAGTTTACCATGATCAGTACCGGATTCAAGATTTTTTCTTGATTTTTCAAAATTTTATCGATTTTTTTATCTTAAAATTATTTTATAATTTAAATAATCGAAAAAATTCCTTAAAAAATCATTTATATGGCCATTTCATAAGGTCATGATTCCTGAATTTGTCCTAATTAACGCCGCAGGCTAAAATTTTTGAAATTTCCGAGGTTCAGTAGACTCTATTGTCGGTCCACAAAATTTTGGTCCGCAAATCTCAGATCCGCAAAATTCGGGTCCGCATAGTTCGGGTCCGCAAAATTCGGGTCCGCAAAGTTCGGGTCCGCAAATTTCGGGTCCGCAAATTAAAATCCGCAAATTTCGGCGCGCCGGAAGATTGATAGGTTTAAGATGTCTGATATTAAAGGCTTACGCTTAAACGACCCATAAAAATGTATGGGAAATGCCTGCGCCGAAACGGTACCTGAAATATGGTGAGGCTGTCTGCGCCTAAATGACCCCTTAAAAATAAGAGAAGAAATCTCTGCGCCGAAACATCCGCTTAAAAATATTAAGGGGAAAATTCGTTTTTATTAATACCTAATGGAAAAAAATTTTTCTAAAGAAATTTTTAAAGCTTTATTTTCCCATTTTAAAGGACGAGCAGATTTCATTTCACCATTCTTCTTTCGCTTCTATTCCAACAAACTCAAAAGATTTAAATTTACAACAGCAAAATTTAGCCTTTGCGCAGCCTTTAAAAAGAGAGGGTTGTGAAGAAGAAAAAAATAAAATTAAAAATAAAAGCTGTCCGGTACAAAGAAAACAATTATTTAGCTTAACTAATGAACAACTTAAAGAACAAAAAAATAAAAAATGTTTTTCTCAACCTTTTTGTAAAGGTAGGGGGAAGGGATAGGGAGGGGATTTTTATTTAAAATGAAGTTAGCTGTTTTAGAAAAAAAAATTTTTCTTTTAAATCTGTATACCTTCTCATCTCCATTAAATATATAGGACGCTCTCTATTATATCCACAAATTTTTTAAAATTCATGGTTACTGGATAGGTGTACGTAAATAATTGGCTGCGCCGAAACGACCCTAAATATATGGGGAAATTTGTTTTAAAAATTCTTGTAAAAATTCAAAAAAATTTTCGAAGTTTTTCTAAATTTATATACCTTATACTTTCAATTTTACGTACACCTCTGATTTATATACGCTCTCTATTATACCTACCAATTTTTCGAGACGATTGATCACTGGGTTGGAAAGAGGGCGTGGGGCGGTTTGGAGAGGTTAAGGTGTCTGCTTAAGCATAACTCCCAAGATTACGTACACCTCGGTTCTAGGCACACCTCTATTTTAAGTACATTCTCTCATTTGAAGCTTAAGCTTTTTTTTAATTTTAAAAAATATTTAATTTCCACCTCTTTAGAACGCCTTTCCCCGTCCATCGGCTCTCGCGACAGTGTAATAATAGAAAATTCATTATCAAACAACAATTCAATATATTCATCTAAAACAAGTTTTTATAACGGAGATTATTGCAAATCCATAAACGAAAATAAAAAAGAAGAATATTGGCAATTATTTGCTGTGTCTTTGCATAAAGTAGGTTGTTTTTAAAAAATGCTTGATTGAAGGGATTTAAAGGGTTGTAACTTTTGAATGGGCAAAGATATAATTTTGGTTTATATGTCGTTAGATAGAGGAGACTTTAAGCTATAAAATTGGTAAAAATCAAATTTTTAGACAAAGTTTAGAAAAAGTTATAAATTTTTAAATAAATTTTGGTAAACGATTTTTGTAAGGCATTAAGATGGTTTTTGGCCAATAACTTTTTGACTTGTAAAGATATAATTTCGGTTTATATATCATTAGATAGAGAAGAGTTTAAGCTATAAAATAGTTTAAAATTTAAATTTTTAGATAAAGTTTAGAAAAAGTTATGAATTTTTGATTAGGCCTGGTAAGCGTCCTTAAATATAACACTTGTTGACTTTTTGCTCAATAACTTTTTGAAAAGTTGGAATTTTAATCAGAATTTTATATCATTAGATAGAGGAGAGTTTAAGCTATAAAATCGTTAAAAATTTAAATTCTATCTCAATTCTTAAGAAAGTTATGAATTTTTAAATAGCCTTATCTAATTTATTTTTAATTTTATTTTTTTAATATTTCCTTTATTTTTACCCAAAATTCTTCAAAATTTAATCAAACAATAATATTATCAACCTATTTATTTTTCTTATTTTATTCGAAATCATTCCTTTCTTTATAATTTTTGTCCTAACAGATCATTAATTATTTTTATAGCCTTCAAGAATTCTTCCTATTAATTTCCATTTTCTTCATTTCATATAGACAATTGTTCTCTTTTTTTTAAATTTAATGTCCAGTATTTTTAAATATTTTGAGTTTAAATTTCTTCAGCTTTTTAAATTAAATACATTGACAAACTAAAATGTTTTCTGTACACTAAATTGGAGGTATGTATCTTCCAGGGGTGTGAAGAAACAGATTTTAAAATGCGAAAGGAGAAGCTGGCACATCCCTGGTATCCTCCTCTTAACCAATCCCCAGCCCTTAAAAATGTACACTAAACCGAGGTGTTCTTGAGATGTCTCTCTCTCTTACCGTATAGTGGTACTCAAAAGTTTGGCGATGAAACGCCCTTTGTAAATTAATTAAAAATAAATGGGTCGTTTCATCGCCAACCATAAGGTTTGATAATTAGCATACTGTAGCTTTGATAGTCTTAAAGTCTTTAAATTTGTAAAATAATTTTTTTGATTAAATTAAAATTTAAAAATAAATTTTCCATTACTTTTTCATTAAATTTTTATTTTTTTTCTTTTATTTCTCTCAATCTATTAATGTCTAGTTCCTCTCTCTCATCCTTGGACAATCCTTGAACAACTGCTTTATATCGTTTAAATTGACTTTAAAAACGACCAAAACATTTTCCGGAAGGACTAGGAGAAAGGAGAGATGATTTGGAATTTTTAGAGGGTTTGAGTTGAAAATATAGATAGATGGATTGGTCATTTACTTTGGGGGAAAGAACAACAACAAATCGATCTTCAAAGGGATTTAAACATTTTGGGGGTTATCTTGGCGCGAATTTTTAAAAGGAAGATGAGGAAGTTGGACTGTCCTAGGAGCAATGGTCAAGGCTCAGGGGATTGGACTGCCCGAGGAACCATGGTCAAGGCTCTGGACCAAGAATTCACCCAATAACCGCGACTAGGACTAAGGCTAGAGACTGAGGATCTACCAATAAGCATGACCTAAAATCATAAAGCAATGACCAGGATAGCCTTAGACCACGACCTGGACCAGGGGTGAGCGCAAGAGACAACCAGGACAACGCAATGCGCTCACCTCTCATCTGGACAGAGACTGGACTTTGACTTGATCTTCAAAACCCAAGCTTAAGGTTTTGAGTTTAGACCAGTTATGACGTCTCTCTTAGCTATGCTTTACTTACTAATAATAAAAAGAGAGAGGAATGACCAATAAAAATCCTTCAAAGATCTCTTACTCTCTTACTTTACCTTTATTCCCAGCTTTCTTGAACAATTGTTTAGTTGTTTTGATTGTTGATCCTCCAGACTAAATTATTACCTTTTAGTTAGCTATATTATTATTGTTGTTTTTAGTATCTAGTCTCCATTCTAACCTATTTTTGAGTCGAATGACCGATTACTGACTTGCTCACTTCAGATCACCCTACCTTCGAGTCATGTCACTCGATCACTTGACCTTGAGGTAACTCGATCACTCTATCTTCTGATCATTCGACCCTTGAATTATGTCACTCTTATACTCACTCTAGCTTCAAGTCACGGTCACTCTATCTCTCCGGATCACTCGCTTTCTCAACCCAACACACTATCCGCCTTCAACTCAGCCCAAAGACCTATCTAAACTTGCCCCTATCACCTTAATCTCTTATTTTTCAAGGCTAATCAAGGTTTCGGTATAGCCATATCTGGCTCGAACGACGAAAGGGAACAGCCAGCTGGAATATTTATAAGCGACGTTTTGAACAACGGCCCAGCTTCCGGGCTTTTACAAATTGGTGATAGAATAACCTCTTGTAACGGCTACCCTTTAGAACACGCTGATTATTCCAGTGCCATTAAAGTTATGAAAGAGGCGCAGCAATTAAATATGGTAATTTGAATACTCCATTCTCTCTAATAGACCTCTCTCTATTTGAATGACTTTTAATGATATGA